CAGCCCACCTTGTCAGAGAAGTCACAGCTGCAGGACCCCAAGACATTCAGTCACACTGTATACTCAGAAGCAGAAAGAAATGAATGCATACATACCTCTTATGTCATTTAGGACCCTCTGCCTAAGGAATGATGCTGCCCACAGCTGGGTTCTCTCGTATCAGTTAACTCAGTTAAGACTGTCCCCCATAGACATGCCTACAGGCCAACCCAATGGAGACAATCCCTCACTGAGACTTTGCTCCCAGGTGATTCCATTTCATATCAAGCCCACAGTCAAAGCTAACCACCATGTCTTAGTTTAGGGATTCTGTTGCTGTGAAGAGACACCATGACCATGGCAACGCTTAGAAAGGAAAACATTTAATTGGGGTGGCTTGTTGACAGTTCTGAGGCTCAGTACACTGTCATCATGGTGGGACATGGTAGCATGCAGACAGACATGGTGCTGGAGTAATATCGAGAGTCTTCTATCTTGCAGGCAACAGGAAGTGGTCTCAGTGTCACATTGAGGGAAGCTTGAGGAAAAGGGGCCTCAAAGCCTGTCCCCACAGTGACACACTTCCTCCAACAAGGCCACACGTACTTTTAACAAAGCCACACCTCCTAACAGCGCCACTCCTTTTGGGGGCCATTTTCTTTCAGACCACAGTAACTTTTCCTGTAGTGTTTGGTTTTTAATAACTCTCTTTAGTTGTAAGTATGTATCTTCCGTCATGTCACGGAGGCTGTCTTAGTCTCAACAACACTAGGAGCACATCTCATAATCACTTATTTCCTCATAATACATCCAAACATGTCACAGGAATACACCGGCATAGCATTGAAAATAAAGTAAGTTTGCTTTTCTTTTTTGTTTTATTTTTTTTCAAAACAGGGTTTCTCTGTGTGTTTCTGGCTGTCCTGGAACTCACTCTGTCACCAGGCTGGCCTCGAGCTCAGAGATCCCCTCTGCCTCAGGAATGCTGAGATTAAAGCATGCACTGCCTTGCCTGGCTAAGTTTTTGTTTGTTTGGTTGGTTTTGTTTTGTTTTTATTGTTGTTCCTTTATTTCTTTCTTTCCCCCTTATTTTATTTTTGTTATTCTTGGGCTGTGTCCCAATAGGATCTATCATCAGATTACTGAATTAGAGGCTGCAGAGATGGCTAGGAGCCCCTGCCACACAAGCACCCATGTAAAAAGCCAGGCAGGGTCATGCATTTCTGTAATCCCAGTGCTATGGGAGGCAGAGACAGAAGAATTTCTGAGGTTTATTAGCTGTCACCCTAGCTCCTGGTTTGGTGAGAGATCCTGTCTCAAGGTAGTACAGAAAAAGTAAGGGGGTAGGAGATCCAGCATTCTCCTTTGGCCTTCACAATCATCTACACACACACACACACACACACACACACACACACACACACACACAGATACAAGCACAAACACATCCAAATCATAGAATCACTTACTTGGAACAGTTCCTTTCTGTGTGGTTGTACCAACAAGTTGTTCACATACACATTCATTTTCATTTCTTTCCTTTTATTCCTTTTATGGATTTGCATTTTAAGTTTAAATCTAATTTTATAATAATGGAAAACCAGGTGTATTCAAGAAATGCTAAACTGTTTCCCTGCCTCTGTAGGCCCTACCCTTCTTTCTCCTCCTTCCTCAAAGCTCAACAGTCTTTATATAGCCCATCCTTGAGTCTTTGTCTCAATAAATGTGTTTGTGTATGTATATGCATTCTCCTATAGGATAAATGAGATCATGTGGTGTATACACACACACACACACACACACACACACACACACACACACACCCTGGGACTTGCTACTGCCCAGTCTTCACTGTGAAGGGCTTCAGCAGTCCTGTGGTGATAGATGTTTGCATTTTTCATTCTGTTACAATTGCTTGTTTTGTTTGTTTGTTTGTTTGTTTGTTTGTTTTTTTAGTTTGTATGTTTTGTTTTTTTATAAGATAGGATTTTTCTGTGTAACAGTCTCCACTGTCCTAGAACTCACTTTGTAGATCAGGCTGGCCTTGAACTCACTGAGATCCACTTGCCTCTGCCTCCTAAGCAGTGGGATTAAAAGCATGCACCACCACCTGCCTAGCCACAACTGCATATTTTACACCCCAAGCAACAGAATGATCAAGCTGGCCAGTGGCATGGTGGTCCTATGAGTTTGATCAGTAATTGCAGTCTGGATTTCTTACTGCAAATAAAACAGTATGCTTTTAAAGGATGTCATCTTGGTGTTAGGGGTGGATCCCAGGCAGATATTGATAAAGCTGTTTGTGTGAATCTCGGTACAAGTAGAGCCGAAACCCTTTAATGCCGTGCTTCTAAACACTGAGTGCCAACTCCTCTATGAAGTAGGGTTCCCACGGTACATGACTGATAGCCTATGCAAACAGATAAATCCTAGCAATGTCTAGCACCGAGAAAGACTTATTATTATTGTTTGACATAGTGAAGGAAATTGTTGGGCTTTGAAATCATAGATCATATACCCTATAGATCATCATCCCTCCCTCTAGTAGACTTAACAGAAATGTAAGAAAGGCTGGAGAGATGACTTGTAAGTCAAGAGTACCTACTGCTTTTGCAGCAGACCCAAGTTCAATTCCCAGCACCCTTATCTAGAGACTCACAGTTGCCTGTAACTCCTGGCCCAGGGGATCTTTAATCTCTTCTGGACTTCACCAGCACCTGCACATACATACACATACCCACACATAGGCACACATGCATACACACAATTTTTAAAATATGAATAAAAAACAGTAATGCAAGGAAGAAGGGAGGCATTGCTGGGGCCTGACTGTCATGCTACTACTGTAGACCCGAGCACCACACTTAGAACTCTGAGTAGGGATGAGAAGACAGGCAGAGGGGTAGGTCACACCGAGTTCCAGGTGTCCTCACTGGAGGCTGGCTGTGCCATTGGCTGGGTACCAGCCCAGAAGGTGTGTTTGAGAACTCAGTGGAGTGTGAATTCTAGTCAGCTGCTTTGCAGCAGCCCAGCCCCCATCAGCCCTCCCGACCTTGGGCTTGAAGGAAATATTCCTTGGCAGTGTGACCTTGGGTAGAGGCTCCAACTCTTTGCAGCCATGCACTCCAGCTCTTTGCAGCTCTTTGCAGCCCCTAGACTACATCTACATGTCAAAGGTCCCAAGGTGGCCTGGCATCAGACACTTTTTCCTAACAACAGGGCACAGTCCCTGACATTGAGAGATTCCAGCCCTCAAGCCTACTCCCCTGTTATGGTGCTGGGCTGGCACAGTGGCCCTTCTCTGTGTGTTCCTCCTAATCATGCAGTCATGATTCTGCTAGGAATCATCTTGGGTCTTATTGTTATTGACCTCGACTGTTTTATTTTGTCTCTGTCTCTTGCCCTGTTTCTTTGGGATTGAGCTTTTGATCTAAGTGTTTGAGTGCAGCATTGGGCTAATCGAGTTCCACTTTCTTCAAGATTTGTGTGTGTGCATGTGTGTAGGTGAGTGCGAGGGTGCGTGTAGAAGAGGACACTAGATTCCCTGGAGCTGGAGTTACAAATACATATGAGTCACACAACTTGAATGCTAAGAACTGAACTGAACTCAGGCCTTCGGAGAGAACTGAGCCATCTCTCTCTAGACCTGAGTTCCACTTTTCTTACCTTCAACTAAACATATTTAAGACATTTATTCATTCTCTCTCAGTTCTAAGTAATTACCATTTCTGTTTGAATCACTCCATAGCTGTGAACAAGTTTTGTGGGCTTATACATTTTCAAAGGAGTGAATTTGGGGCTTCTAATCTATACTGTTGATGCTTTCACCACAGTTTGGTTTTGTTTCACTTGGGGAGTACAGTTTTAGATCAGTTTCATTATGTAACCAAGCAGGCCGTCAACCTGCTAAGTAACCTAAACTAGCCCCAAAGTCATAATTCCTCTGCCTCGGTCTCCAAAGTGCTGGGATTGCTTGCATGCATCACTACACATGATTAAACATATCATTTTTGGAGGCTACTTGTGGGAACCCAGTTCATACACGAAACCATACATTATAAGCCTTTAATCCATTTTCACATGTAATTTGGGGTCAAGAAAATGAATCTTCTGCTTGCACAGTGCTGTGTTCTTAAAATAGCAACTAGCTTGAGTTGGTTAACTGCCCTGTTCAGTCCTTTCTGCTTCACTGCCAGAGTTATCCTCCAACCAGCTACATTCTGTCTGGGTCCAAGACACAGAAATACCTATTACCTATTAAGGGCTGATTGCTTTGGTGTGGTTCATAAAATGTCCCGAGGCCAAGGGACACACTGCAGCTTCTCCATTGCTTCAAGCAGGCTGGTTTACAGGAGTTGACAACTGTACAGTCTCTGCTTAACTAGCCTATAAAACCTAGGTGTAGGTCTCCTTGGTTGTCCTGGCTGTTCAGTCATGGATGTTTGTCCTGTACTGATATCTAAGAATGGAACGCATGGTGAATGTCCTTATGAGGCCTGTGTCCCCGTGCCCAACATCAATCCAGATTATTTAGCCTTTCTTACCTGATCATGTGGATGTCACATTACTTCTCAGAGCTGTGTTTCTTTACTGCTTGTGTGTTGGCAGAATCAAGCTTTGCAAGCTGGTAATAAACAGTTGTGGCCAAGATATCCTCAAATTTTATTATTTAATGTACTGTTTGTATATGTATATGATTTCATGCCACGGTGAGTGTGTGCAGGTCAGAGAACAACTTGGAGGAATCTGTTCTCTCCTTCTACCACTTGGGTCCCAGGGATGGAACTCGGGTCATCTGGCTTAGCAGCAAGTGCTTTACCCACTGAGCCATCTCACCAGCCGTGATCCTCATATTTTAAAGGTGTAGATAGAAGATATCTGTGAAGAACTGGCATTTGAGAGTAGCCTAAGTGACTCTTAACTCTCTCCACTCTCCAAACAGAGTTTGAATAGGGTGAGGCCAAAGAAAATATTTGGAGGACCCTAAAATTCTCCCTTGTTCTTTTCTTCCTCTCCATCAGTGTGGAAGACAGACGCCGCAGCCATGACCACCCACGTCACTTTGGAAGATGCCCTGTCCAACGTTGACCTGCTGGAGGAACTGCCCCTCCCAGACCAGCAGCCATGCATCGAGCCCCCGCCATCCTCCATCATGTACCAGGTAATGGAAATGGCAGGGTGCAATGGGGAGACCTGGATTCTGAAGGTCCTGTCAGAGGACCTGCCCTGAAGAGCCAGGAAGAGAAAGGGCATCTAGAAGGTGAAAGGGCAGGAGCTGATGGAGCCCCTCTGCACTCTAAGAGCTCAGTGGAAGGTATAGATTAACTAAAAAATGTGTGCCAGGTCCATGTCCCTCCCCTAGGGGGCATTTGCTGATCTGTTCTAACCCTAAATGCCTTCTGGGCTGTTCTGTTGTTGCATCACCCAGATTATGACAAACAGCCCCATGAATTAAATATCACAGTTTGGAGGCCTCTGGAGCCTGCCTGGATAATTGCTTTTCCTGAATGTGTATGACAAGAGCTCACACAAGTCCACACAGCAGCCAGTGGCTCAGGGAAGTGGATCACAGTTATTTGCTTTGGCCCTAAATCAGAACTTGTGATAAGCCGCCATCCCATTACATACAGCTGTGTCCCTGGCAGGCCTAGTGAGGAGGGCATCCATGCAGCTGGAGGCAGCCTGGCCAAAGCCCCTTGCCTGAGTGTGCCAGGCTGAGTGTCATGTTAAGAAGGAATGGTCGTTTGGAAATTGGGGCTGTATTAGACCTTTTTTGCTAGTCTTGGATGGTGAACTATGACTCAGTTTAACTATGTATTTTTCATTTCATTCAATAGTTAAATGAATCTTCATATACTTGAAGATTCAGTTCCTAAATCTGACTTATTCATAGCTTTTAGCACAGGTTACAATTTTAATCATGCAAGTATATTTTGCTTTTAGTTTTATAGAGAGACATTTTCATTATTAACAAAATGGAAAAGTACAGCATAGAAATAAACTTCTTATACTGATATACCCTTCTCTGTGTACTAGGCATTTTGTTTTATTAAATATATATGGTATATGTACTAGTTCTTTTACTAGAAACAGGAATCCATGATATGCATTTACATGTAAACATGTAAAAAGCTGTTCTGATTCACCTTTTCCTGAACATCCATTTTGGAGCCAGGTGTGGTGGCTTACAGATGTAATCCCAGGATTCTGGAGGCTGAGAGAAGAGGATTGCTGTGAGCTTCAGGCTAGCCTGGGCTACAAATCACAGCAGCAAGCACTTCTGTGGATATTGTTGGATGTCAATGGCTTTAGTAATGCCACCCTAAGTTCAAGCAGCTCATGTTCCTTCCTGCCCATTGTACAGAGAGACTGTCATCTACTTCAGCTTTTGCTGGCTAGTTTCATTGTTTCAAGGTGGCCCTTTAATTGTAAAAACTGCAGTAGTGACCTGGCTTACACATCTACACCTGTGCACCCTCAGGCATGTGTGCTGAATGTCTGGATCAAAGCCATGCACACCTTGACTTTTAGCAGCTGTTTGGACTTGCATAGTTAGCTGGAAGTATGATTTCCTCGTGCTGGGGCTTTTATTCATCACGACAAGCATAACAGATTAATTTTAGTGTTCTTACCACATGAATAAATCGGCAAAGTCTATTAGTAAATCCTTACTACCTGGAATTAGAAATCGTCAATTCAGAATTAAACATTTACTTCTGAGCTTGGTTGGGTGAAACCGGTCGTCTTTGAGAGAAGCAGGTGCTGTCCATTTGTCCTCAGCTGATATGAGTCGGTAAGGGGTGATATTTGAAAGCCACAGGGCAGTAGATTTCCACAGAAAGCGTGTGATTTTTGTTGGTGGCTGTTCACTCCCTAGATATCCAGCCAGCTTAGATGAGTTTTCCAGTAACCAAATGTCCCCTCCTGTTCTCTACCTCCACAGGCTAACTTTGACACGAACTTCGAGGACAGGAATGCGTTTGTCACGGGCATTGCAAGGTACATTGAGCAGGCAACGGTCCACTCCAGCATGGTAAGTCTCCGTGACCCACATGTGCAGATGCACACCCTGCCAACGCAGGAGGAACCATGTGCAGCTTCCCACACCAGGCCTGTGCTTAGCTACCCCAATGTGTTCTGCCTTAGTCAGCTGGGCTATGGAATTCTATTCTGGAACCCGGGCCCAATCCCCTCTCTATGCCTTGGGGCATACTCCATATCTTGCTCATATTGCTCATTGTAAGCCCATGCGAACCCCGCTGCTCAGTTCCCTGAGGACAGGGACTTTTGGAAATACTTGGAATTAAGTCCTACTTTAATTTTATCCTTACAGATTGCTGGGGGGAGGGGCGACGTTGCTTGGTCTCTTGACAAAGGAAAAAAAATCCTTATAAAAATGACAAGTGAGATGGCTTTGGAAAATGTCATTTATTGATTCAAGGAAGCTGCCAGCCTAAATCATTCATAATGGAGCCATTTGTTTTCCTTTTAGGGTCTGACCCTACGAGGGCGATTTCTCCTCTCCCTTTTTATCTACAGCGAAGATTTTGGAATTCTAGGTTTCTTGTCTAAGGGCCCCAGCATGTACTTCTCTGGACCCTTCTCACTGTGTGCATTATGTTCTAAAAACCCAACTCATTCATTAACTATTGTGTGTCTGCTGTGAGCTGATTCTAGAATTAGTCCAGGGCCAGTCTCAGTTCTGAGTGAGTTAAGTGGAGACAAGTCAACCAAACATTTTTTCAGTACAGCTACTCTGGGTTCATTGTCTCATTTAATCCTCACACAGAGCCTGGGAGGCAAGTGATTGGCAGCCCGATATTTCAGTTGGCCAACATGGGAGCCCCTCAACTGTAAGAAATTGATTCAGGGTCTCACAGCTGATGGGTAGTACTCTGGTGACAAAGCTTGGCACTCTGGACTATTCTTTGCAGACAAGTAAAAATGTATACACACTCCATGCCATGGTCAAAGTTTGGAATTCAGTTTTGAAGGGGCCTTGAGGAGACTGGAGGAAGCTGCTTCTGAGTACAGCCTTCTAGGGGGTAATGATAGGTTGTGTACACACTGCTCTTTGAAATGTAGGCAGGGCAATCTGCTGTGTGATATCATCGAGAGCCCCATAATAACTCCAGGGCTTGCAAAGGGATCATTATACCTAGTGTAGAGATGAGAAGACTAAGGTCTGAAGATGTTAATAAGCAAGTTGCTCGTGGTCCTACAACTAGTAAGCCCTTGCATGAACCTGGGAACTGTCCTGACCTCTTTCTGTGGTTCCCTCTTTGTCACATGGGATTGTAGCTGTCAGATGAGATGGGAGTGGGACATCAGGTGACTATCAGCACAAGTAAAGACAGAATTCTCAGAGACTGCCCAAAATTGGAGTGTGGAGTGAGTGAGCGAGCGTGCGTGCGTGCTTATGTGTGTGTGTGTGTATGCGTGTGTGTGAGTGGTACTGTAGATACCATTTATGGAGAATGAGGTAAGGGGTCTGTACATGGAAGTCATGTTTGCTGCCTAGACCACCATAGCAGAGAGCTGTGACCAGGTAGCTTAAACACTGTTTCCCTTTCACAGCCCTAGAGGGTGGTACTCCTGCTGTCTCCTTGGCTACCCTAGCTCTTTCCATACACACTCCTGCATGTCTGATGGCTCTATGTGTACCCAAGCCCCTGCCCCTTTTATAAAGATGACAGTCCAGTTTCGTGAGATCCAGGCCTCATGAGGTTCTTTTGAGTTTCACCACCTTTCAAAAGGGCCCCTCTAGAAATAGTCACAGTGTCAAGTACCAGGTTAGGACTGGAGCCTGTAACTGAGGGTCGGAGGCTGGAGATGTAGCTCAGTTTTAGTTGTCTGAGTACCCATCTAGAACACACAGAGCCCTGGCTTGATATCCAGCACCAAATAAACTGGACATGATGTGGCAAGTGCTACCAATCCCACTTGGGGAGGTGGAGGCAGGGGGATCTGAAGCTAGAGATCATCTACTTAGGTGCCGCCCCCACATGGCCAGAGTACCAAGCTGGTGGAGAGTGTCAGGATTGAAACACTTAACAGACCACCATGAGAAATGAAGAGGAAGCTGCCACCCTTTATTACAGAGAGTAATGGGCTTATATACCCAAGCCAGGGCATAGGCTAAGCATAGGAGGAAATCATGCACCACCCACACCTGGGGTCAAGGCATGGACACTGCACACTGGAAAGTTATGAGAACAACCTGTTTGATCAACCGTGAGAGCACAGGAGTTCTACAGCTGGGTGGGGAGGAAGAGAGCTGTAAGGGACAAGTACTTAAATTTCCCAACACATAGGAAGTTTGAAGCAAGCTTGGACTAGAGACCCTATCACAAATGAACTTAAATAAATAAATAAATAGAGTAGGAAGTTTTCAACCTTGGGAGAGAGGGGAGCAGAACTCTGCTTCACCCATGCTTTATCCATGAACTGCTCATGGAATGAGTTATGGAGGAGCAAATGGAAAATATAAACTGGATGAGATTCTGCAAGTGATTGTTGCTGGAGGCATGACAGGCTGGGTGGGGGCAGTGACCGTAGGGGAGAGCTGTAATGATCATGTACACAAGAGAAACTGGATATCATCACTTCCACCTGGTATAATTCTTTGGGGTAGAACTGGACCCAGGCAGACTGAGGTGTCCCAGGAATACCAGGTCACAGGCTCAGATAGGCAAGTGTGGGACAGGCTGGCTCTAAACATGATTATATTTGTTTTCTGATGCTGCTGTGAGAAATTGCATGATTGGCTTAATTGACAGACTGTTTGCCTAGCATTCACGAAGCCCTCATTTGATTCCCAACAGCACATAAACTGTGCAGTGATAAATATAGCACTTGAAAAGTAGAGACAGGAAGATCATAAGTTCAAGGTCATCCTCAGTTACCTGGCAAGGGTAACCTGGGATACATACCTCTAAAATAAACTAATATATTATATATTTATACACACAGAGAGAGAGAGAGGGGGGAGAGACAGAGATACAGAGACAGAGAGACAGAGATACAGAGAGAGAGGGTGCACCTGGGACTTGAAGACATGTACTGCAGCCTCTGTAAACCCAATGAAATATTGCCTGCTGTGGCATTTGGGGGCTGAGAACAGCCACGAGTTCCCTACATTACTGTCAGTTCTCCTTTTAGACACATGTTCCCAAGCAGAAGAGAAAGCAGAAGGCCTGTGGTTGGGCTTGGTTGTTTCTGAACTTGGAGACAGCATGTTACTGACTGAAGTTCTAAATTAAGAATTAAACCGTTGCTACTGAATAGAATCACAATAAGTAACAAACTCCAAATTAAATTGGATTCCACCCTAATAACATATTACAAAGTGGATATGATAAATAGATTTAAATTTTAAAATTCATTTTCCCTAGATACAAACATTTACAAGGAAAGGAAGCATAACACTAATTATTTTCTCCTGTTATTTTTGAGGTATGTTTTCCGTAACTGGAAACCATTTAAATATATGCATGAATATTTTAATCATGTTCACAATATTATACTGCTGTCACCACATCTAATTCCATTGCCCTATACATGTGCCCTAGGCTGTTAGCAATCTCACATGGGTCCTCTCTCTCTGTTCCCATCAGCCACTGTCTGCTCTTAGGCTATAGCTCTTGTGGCTATTTCATCTAAAGGAATCAGAATGTGTGGCCTTTTGTCTGGCTTCCACTGAACTTCATATTAGGTCAGTCTTAAATGGAAGGTCCATGTGAGTTACCTGGGGACGTCACTGGAATATAGGGCTTTTTTTTGTTTTGGTTTGGTTGGTTTGGTTTTTCAAGACAGGGTTTTTCTGTGTAACAGCCCTGGCTGTCCCGGAACTTGCTTTGTAGACCAGGCTGGTCTCGAACTCACTGAGATCTACTACCTCTGCCTCCCAAGTGCTGCAATTAAAGGTGTGCCGGAATATAGTTCTTAATCGTAGAATCAGACAGCCTGAGAGGACAGCCCCACAACCGGCTTTGTCAACACGACTCCGGGTGATGCTGCTGTTGCCAGTCACAGACCACACCCTACAAGTTGTAGACAGAGACTTGACAAACCTGTGACACCAGTGTCATCTCCTCTTAACAAAAATGCTTTGCCATTTCAGAATGAAATGTTAGAGGAGGGACACGAGTATGCGGTCATGCTGTACACCTGGCGCAGCTGCTCCCGGGCCATCCCACAGGTGAGGCCATCTTTGCTATGACTCTTTTGCCCATTAGGGGTACTACTGCTCCTCAAGGTCAATCAAACCCAAACCAGAGGGCTGGCTGAGTTTTCTGGGTAGCAGGAGGTAAATCTGGGCCTCTGACCCAAAAAGCTTCCCATAATACTACTGAGAAGGTCCATGCCCCTGGGGTCTTAAAAACAGTTCCCAGCACATACTATGCACAGTATTTCATTTCACAAGCAGCATCTGCTGCCTCCCACCCAGGTCACTGCAGAGGGTCTAAGGTAGCAAACACGCTTTCGGCTCACTTCTCCACCCAAACCCATGTCCGGCCACAGGACGATCACAGTGCACACTGCTTCAAATCGTTCGGGATCTTCTTATCGCAGGAACATATTTTGTAAAGCCAAATTGTTACCACAGAACCTTGCTACTTCTCTTTTTTTACACTGTCATGGGCTTGTTGAAAATACAGATATGGTTATTATTGTCATTGACATTTTCATTTAATTAGTGGCTCCCATTGTAACAAAATCAACAAACCTCACATGCATAAAGTAATCAGAAGGTACCATTCCCTCTTTTAACCCTCATATTTAGGGGCAATTATTATTGACAAATTTTGTTTGCTTCATATTCTTCTAAGCCTGGTTTTGTTTTTCTTAAATAATTTATTTTCCTTTTTTTTTACTTTATTTTTACTTCATGTGCACAGATGTTTTTGCCTGCTTGTCAAACTTTTAATTACATTTATTTGTTCTCTCTAGGGAGGGTATATATGTACAATGGTGTGTGTGTGGCAGTCAGAGGAGAACATGTAGGAATTGGGTCTGTCCCCATTCAGGCCATCAGGCTTGAAAGGAAGTACATTTTTCTACTGAACCATCTGGGCAGCCTCATATTTTGTTTTTCTGGAAAAAGGGGACCAAACTGGAGTTGTGCCTCAGTGGCAAAGCATTGCTAAACATATCTCAGGGTTTGGGGTCCAAGGCCTGGATTCTCTCCCCAGCAGTGCAAAGGCAATAAATAAATAAATAAAACAAAACAGGCATCAAATCATACTTAACTGTGACCTTTTGGCATGTCCACTGTGGTGGCCGCATTCTCATGGTATTTCTAGAGATCCACCTTAGTCCTTGTTTGTAATGGTAATAGTAGTAAACGATTGTATCACTTGGCCATGTAATGGCCCATTGGCAATTATATAACCATTGATAACCATAAAAGATCATTCTTGCCCAATGCATGTGGTACTTACCTGTAATCCCAACACATAGGAGGAGTCAGGAAGACCTTGAGTTTCAGGTCAGTGGGCTACACAGTGAGATACTGTTTAAATAAAAAGTAATGCGTTTGCTCACTCTCACACCCAGCCAACCTATCATCAGGCTTGGTGTGTGTGTGTGTTCAAAGAATATCTACCGTGTGGTACTAAGGTCATGTGCTTACTAAAAGTACTGGGTAGGGAAGTAGGTCTCTGAGTGGCACAGCTTTGGTTAGCCATCAATTACCTGGATGTGACTTTGGAGCTTTGTTCCAGGCATACAGCATAACAAGGGTAGACTGGCTCACCATCTTGTATATGAGGATAGGGGAGAATGCGTGGCAGATCTCTATAGATACATGGCTAGCCAACTGAAAGGGCACAGACCAGCAGGAAAGGGGGGGCAGTGTTGGGACCAGCTGGCTCCTTACTACAGCCAGAGTCTAGGGATCACTTCGAGGGCCTGTCAGTCTTCTACCTCTCACTGGGGTGACCATATCCATTATCACCCATGACAAGGTGCCACATTGAACTACAGGCCAGTCTCATGAGACAGAAGCTGTGAGCCTGGGTGATGAACTTGCCTCTCACATTCACAGGTGAAGTGCAATGAACAGCCCAACCGGGTAGAGATCTACGAGAAGACCGTGGAAGTGCTGGAGCCAGAGGTCACCAAGCTCATGAAGTTCATGTACTTTCAGGTGAGTGGGGTGTGGAGGGGCCACAGAGGAAGGCTCACAAAGACACCTACTCTTTCACATACTAGACTTTGGTGCCGTGTCATTTTTTTCATCCAGCTAATATTTTAAAGAACCACCCACACTCCTGTGAGTTGGCCAGCCAACAGGTGCCCCCATCTTCACAGATGTGTAGCTCCAAAAATACACAGTAGTTTTTAGAATATGGTGAGGGCCATGAGTAAAATACGATTTACAACAGTTGTAGATTGCAGAGTAGCTACAGATAGTTGGTGCTTTAGGGACAGTGCATGGAGCTACAAACCTGATCACAGCAGAGGCAGGAGTATGATGGTATGGTGAACAGGATTCCAGAAAGATGGTCTGGCAAAGCCCCGAAGCAATTAGTGTGTTCAAGGAGAGGACAATAAGGGAGCAGGCTATAGAACAGTAACAACGGGTAAGTGGTCCAAGGGGAGGCTGGAGCAGGGCTGGCACTCAGTAAGATGCTACTGTGAGCCTTGGGATTTGGATTTGGTGATGTGAACTGATCTGAGGTTTCAGGCTATCTGGCCACTAGGTAGGAAATGGTTTGGAGGTGGAGGTTGGAAGAAGCTATGAGAGAAGAGCATGGCCACAGCAACCAGAGAAAGTTAGGAGCTCTGGAAGAGCCTTTGTTTAGAGGATGAAGGGAAGGGAGAGGGCCAAGGAACTTCACACGTGTCAGGGAAGGCTAGGTGGTAGCATAAAGGGGCAGGAAATATGAGCAGCCAGTTACTTGCTGGGGTCTCATTGGCAGCCAAAAGGGTGGCAAGGTGAGCATTTCAAAGCTACTCTTTACTCCACGGTGGGTGACATAGCTTGCACAATCCATACCTTATGTATGTTCCACCTGTGGGACTGAGCTTCATTCATAGGCTCTTGACTCTGGCCAGAATCCACCCTGTACTCAGCATCTAGGCAAGAACTGGGACTGCACTAGGGGAAGTGTCTAGGCCTGAGTAAGGAATGATGCCAGGTCAGACCCTGGCTGTGCTATTGTCTGATTGTATGTGACTCACTTCACACACACACACACACACACACACACACACTCACACACACTCACGTATACACATACACACACACACACACACACACACACACACACACACACACACACAGGGACATGGAACCTGCCTGTCAGGGTAGTGGAAAGGATAAACAAGGTCCATCTGTAGGTGCCCAGCAGTGCCCTGTGTGGAGGCTTACAGTGCTTCACAGCTATTGTTAGTACCCTAGGTGGCTCTACTTCCCCAGAGCCTAAAGTCTCTTTGGGAAGCAGGTCAAGAAAGGAGAGCTATCAGAAACTGGGTGTGAAGTGAAGAGCTCCCTTAGGAGAGGTGTGAATAGAAGGAAGGATCTGGAATGATTCACAGCTGTATACCAAGCTCTGTGCCCATCGACTATGTGCATAAACAGTAATAAGTTCAAAAGGACACTCCTCAGCAGCACAAGGCTGACTTCAAGCACTCAGTAGCCGTTGTGGCCTACTGCATTAGTTTCTGTTCTCATGTCTGGGCCCTGATGCCTAATGAAGCATTCCAGCGATCTCGAGGAAGTCAGAGTTGCTTGGCTCACAGTTTAAAGGTACAGTTCATCATGGCAATAAAAGCATGGTGGCAGGAGCATGAGGCACTGGTCAGGCCGTGCCCGGGTCAGGAGAGGTGAAAGCCAGTGCTCAGCTCATTTTCTCCTTTTCGCCCAGTCCATGGGGTCATGCCACACCAGTTACACATTCAGGGTGAGTCTTCCTTGTTTGGTTAGACCTTTCTGGAAACACACATCCTTCATGGACACAGGCAGGGGTTCCTGGTGAGTCTAAATCCCATCAAATTGAAAGTGAAGATTAACCATCATAAAATCATGGCGAGCATGGCTGTGGTGAACCATGGCAGAAAGCCTACCTGGACTTAGACTCTGGAGGTCTGGCCTGGTCTTTGAGGGAGGGGAACTGGCAGATGGACACTGTAGGCCCTGGGAGGGGAGCAGCGCTCACATCTGCACATACATCTCCTCACACCCTTGCTTTTGAACTACTTTCTTTGAGATATAATATTTATTATCACATCCCATTTAATGTTCACCCAAGTAGAGTGAACAGCCCAGCATGTTCTTCACAGAGCTATGTGTTTATCCTATAATCTGTTCTAGAATATCTTTACCCCTACAAAGAAATCTCTTGAACCTTCACTCCCTAACATCCCCAACACCCTCTCCTTCAGCCCCAGGCAGCTACTAAACCACTTCTTATCTCGGTGGATTTCCTGTTTAGACATTTTCCTGTGAATGAAACTGTGCAGGACGTGACGTTTCATGGCTGGCCTCTTGCCGTTGGTGGGGTGGTTTTGAGTGTAATCTGTACTGTAGCAGGCACCAGAATATAATCGGACTTTTTTTTTTTTAATGGAACGCCATGTCACTGTACACATGTACCATATTTTATTATTCCTCTATCCATCAGGTAATAGATGAGGCTGCTTCCCCCCTTTGGATCTGTTAGGAATAAAAGCTGAACACATGTGCAAGGGCTTGTGTGTCGTTAGAGACTCTCATCTTTCTCTTGGCTCGTGTGCTAGTTAGTTTTTTGTCAACTTGGCACAAGCTGAAGTCATATGGAAAGAAGGAGCCTCAGTTGTTGCCTTTCCTCTATCGATTGGCCTGTGGGCAAGTATGTGGGGGCATTCTCTTAATTACCGGTGTGGGAGGGCCCAGTTCTCTGTGGGCTGCACCACTCCTGGCATGTGGTCCTAGGGTGTATAAGAAAGCAAACTGACCGTGCTCTGGACCCTCGGCGGTCTCTGCTTCCGTTTCTGCCTCTAAATTCTTGTGTGGAGTTCTTGTCCTGTCTTCCTTCAGGGTAGACTGCAGGCTGTGAGTGAAACAGATCTTTTCTTCCCCAAGGTGCTTTTGGTCAGGATATCACAACACTACACAGCAAACTAGGACTAGCAGATCCTTGTGAGTAGAGTGCTGGTTCACTTAGCGACTCCATCTTAGATGTGCAAGTTTCCTAACTGCTCCTGCAATCTGCTGGCACCTTGGCAGCCACCAAGCTACCATGCCAGAGCCCCAGCATCGCCCATCGGATGCCATCAAAGCACAGGTCCTCATAAGAGCCCCTGAGGGTGTGTGGCCCCTCCAGTGTTGACTACGTGTCTTCCCTGCACTCACTCCAGCTCAAGCCAAGCCCTGCCCTTCCTTGTATCCTCCCAACATGCCCCGGGGCCTTTGCACTGGCAACTCATGCTTCCTTCACTCATTCCTGTCTTTCTCCTTCTCTTTCAAATTGCCTCTCTAAAAGTCACTTCTTGGAGATTCCAGTCTTTCTTCATAGAGGGACAGTTCTTCCCAGCCCTTCTCAAACTCCATCCCTTCTTCACTTCCTGCCACATCAAGTATGAAATCCTGCCGCAAATCATTTGCTTTGTTTTCTGCTATTTAATGTATAAGATCCTTGGAGCAGATTTTGCTCTTGTTTTGATTTCTGCTTAACCTCAGTCCTTGGGATGGCTATATGGTATACAGTAGATGCTCAATTATCAGTTGCTTTATGGATGAACCTCTGTCTCTCCCTGCATGCCACACACTGGGGATACAATGCCTCTTAGCAAATGTGTTTTTTCAATAATTCATCGGATAAACTCACTTCAAACAGGTTCCAGCACCCTGTCACAATTAGTTTTGGAGATGGGGACATCTCTTAAAAACACTGCCTGGCATGGTAGATGTGTCCTTCTTACTCCGCCTTGACCGTAGTGAGGACCCTGGGAGAGCCTTGACCTTCTCCTACTCAAGAGTGCACTGAGGTCCCCCCCCTCACCAGGCGGCCCCATCCTCACCAGTGCCCCTCTGTCTCCAGCGCAAGGCCATCGAGCGCTTCTGTAGCGAGGTCAAGAGGCTGTGCCATGCAGAGCGCAGGAAGGACTTTGTCTCCGAGGCCTACCTGCTGACCCTGGGCAAGTTCATCAACATGTTTGCAGTCTTGGATGAGCTGAAGAACATGAAGTGCAGCGTCAAGAACGACCACTCTGCCTATAAGAGGTCAGGAACCTGCCCTGCTCCCCGAATCCCTCACAGACTCATTCCCTGGAAAGAGTAGCCTTCCCCAAACCCAGCTGCCGTGATAGGGTGGTTTGAGGAAGGTGATTCTGGGCTGGGGCTTTGGAAGAGTTGGTGTTGGCCACCCTTGATGTCCCAAGATGGAATAATCTGGTTCCTGTTTCCCCAACTGGGGAACAGCATGTTTGCCTCATGGCAGAAAGGTTATCATAGCAATCCCATTGTCACTTTCTGTGACAGACAGAAAGCCACTGCAAAGAACTGCAAAGCCCAGTCATACATTCCTCTAGTTACCCCAGCAGCAGTGGCATTTGCCTGGGTTTCTTCAGCACCCCTCTGCTCCTCTGTGGCTTCTTTCTCAGGCAGACCCATACAGTGGCTTCCTGCCAGCCTGTGGTAGGGGAAAACGCCTCACTTCCCGCATGCATTTGGAAAATCCAAGCCAAGATTGTCATCAATCCAGCTTGCTAATCCCTCCTTTGGACACTGAGTGGGGTAGAGGTTATCTGAGTGGGTGGCGAGTTAGGGGTCCTTGTCATTATTGAAAGGACTGGGATTGGGAGAGGTCACTCATCTCCAGAAGCCAGGATATAGCCACCAAAAGACAGGGAGTGCTGCAAAGTGACAGATCAAAGCAACAGACTCCTGGGAGCTGGTTGAGGCTCAGGTGAGTGCCAGTGTCTGTCCATTCCTTCTGGAAGGGTTGTCCATATCATTGGCAAAAGATGACTCTATATCTGAGCCACAGTTCCCCATGTTTCAAGGTAACAGGAGAAAAAAAATACAACAGATTGAATTTCACAATTTTTTTTTCTCCTGGGTCAGATGTGAAACCTGGGTTGCCCAATAGTTAGAGACCATCTCAAGGCCAACTCAAGATGTCACAGATGGCCACCAGTGCAACATCCTTCCCCATACACTTCCTGTGGTGACCCATCAGTTCCATCATGACAACAGCCAACATCTGTGTCCTGAGCCAGGGAGGAGTGTTGCCCCCATTCTCACAAGCTACTGTGACACGAGCTGCGCCTTGCTGGGTTAAGTTGGGACACACTGTTGTTAAGACCAGCCTGTGTTCTCCATGTTCTTCTCCTTCCATCTGTCACCCAGTCAGGGTACAGGTGCTTGTGCTGCCGTGCAGTGCTGTGCATGGGAATGTTGCCGTTAAACCGGATCTTTGATCCATACCACTTAGGCTTATGCAGGAGAATCATCAGCTGGGCCTAGCGGCACAGGACTGTTATCCTCGCTAGTTTCCATCAGTTCAAGGTTTAGGCTATGGAGTGATTTTGATACCAGCCTGAAAAACTTAGCAGGGTGCGGTCTCAGAACTGGAAAGATAGTAAAAAGCTAGGGGGCATAGTTCCAAGGTCAAGTGCTTTGCCAGGCATGCACCCTGTCCTAGATCCTTTCCCTGGTGCTACAAGCCAACTCAAAAAATAGGATGCGGAGATTTTCCTATAACGAACAGAACACATGAAAAAGGAAAAAAAAAAAAAAAAAAAAAAAAAAAAAAAAAGAAAAGAAAAGAAAATGAAGCTTCCTGCCTGCCGTTGTTCTACATGGCTCACTGTGCAGCTTCCCTGGAGGTCCTGGCCAGGCTCAAGGACACTGCCCACTCCCTGTCTTCATCAGTCAGTCCTTCCTGGTTTCCATTAACTGTCCCGAGATTCCGCCATGTTTTCTGTTTTCATGCCTTTTAATTCCCAGCAGCTGTCACTAGGGCTTAAACAGAGAATGGACTTTTTCCTCTGACCTTGGAACCACCTGCCATGCTCAGAGCTCCCTGACATCAGGGTGGTGTCTTTTTAAGCTGAGCGGGAACAAACTCCTATGTTATCACCTCCTTCCCTGTGTTTCAGAGCGGCCCAGTTCCTAAGGAAGATGGCAGACCCCCAGTCCATTCAGGAGTCTCAGAACCTGTCTATGTTCCTGGCCAATCACAACAGGATCACCCAGGTGAGGGCAGGTTCCTGGTTGGTCCTGCCTGGTATGCCAAGGAAGCAAGGATAGGGCCTGAGGCTTAGAGGGCTCCAAGGAACAGCACACAAGTTCAGTCCACACTTTTTGTCTCCACTGCCCTTCATGAGAGTAATGTGAAAAGCTACAGCCAGTGACCTCTCCCTGTTTGGTTCTCTGGAAGGTTCCAAGACAGGGTTGTGGGCCCCACACCAGGCTCTAGGTTGAGGACAAGCCTACCATGGGTCCATTATCACACCTCAGTCAAAGTCAGATATTCAGTTTACACATCTATAAAATGGGTATATTATTTTGGGACTATTGTGAGACTAGATCTCACAGGACTAGCTTGAAAAATGAAGTGTGAACAAAAAGCCCTCAGAACATGACCAAGGGCCTGGGAAGGCACAGTTATAGTCACCACCTTCAGTTTGCCAATGTGTACCCTCTGGGCTTCTCTCCCATTGTGCCTGCCATAGCTGGACCTATCTTCCTGTCGGTTCAATACTAAGAGTATCTGTAGGACCCAGGCCAACTCCCAAGAGTTCTCAGACTCATATCCCTATCTCAAAGGCCTGGAGGTGGCAGGGCTCCCGCCGTCTGTAGAGAATTCCAGCACTGCTACAACCACATCTCTCTTAGGGGTCCAGTTTGTGTCTGTGGGAGAAAGGGCTATGGAGAAACCTTCCTTAACAGAAACTGTTATGATGCTCCCACCTACCTACCTATGTTACTCCTTCCGCTGGGTGGGTCTTCTCCCTGCCTTTGTCTGAAGTAGGGAAATCCACACCCTGAAAACTAACCTGCAGTTACTGCAGGCATGATCACTCCATCGCTGTAAAGCTGAGCTGCCCAGGGGTGCACTCACTCTACCCTCAGAACAGCCAAAGTTGACATGGGAGACCCAAGGGGTTAGGTCCCTGCTGAGGGAGGTGAGCAGAAACTACCAGTGATTGCCTAGCATCAAAGGGAAGTCAAATATGAGCACCTGCTGGCATGAAGGCTCCCTCCTTCTGGGACCTCAGTAAGGAATAAAGTGCTCACATATCCTGCCCAGCTCTGGGTTTTCTGGGTGGTGCCAGGGGAGGCTTGCTCTGTCTGACCAGCGGGTGGCGCTGTTGTTTAGTGTCTTCACCAGCAACTGGAAGTGATTCCAGGCTATGAAGAACTGCTGGCGGACATTGTCAATATCTGTGTGGATTACTATGAGAATAAGATGTACCTGACACCCAGTGAGAAACACATGCTCCTCAAGGTAACTCTTCCCCACCTCACACTGCTTCCTTCCACGTGCATGGTGAAAGCGCGCATGCGTGCCGGTGTGGGTGTAGATGTATATGTCATTCTTCAGGAGCCATCCATCATCTTTTCCTAAAGGTTAATTTCTGTTCTTTTAAATATGCATATGTGGGTATGTGCACACAGACCATCGCTGTCAGATGTCCTGGAACTGGACTTACAGACTATTGGGAGCTGTCCAACGTGGGTTCAGGGCACCACACTCAGGTCTTCTGCAAGGGCAGCAACTGCTCTTAACCACTGAGGCTCCAGCCCCATATTTTCTCACTGGGACCCATGGCTCACCCGTCAGGCCTGGATAGCTGGCCAGCAAGCAGGGACTGGCTTAACTCTGCCACCCATCACTGGGGTTCCATGTGTGCAACACCATGCCAGTGTGTATATGAGTGCTAGAGACTGAACTCAGTTCTTATGTTTGTGCTCCAAGCATGTAACTGATATGCCATCTCCTCAGCCCCATTTTAAGAGAATATTTTAAAATATCAGCTGATGACTCCAGCCTTACTTGCAATCTTCTCTTTGATGTGCCACACACTGAAAATATCTTTACCAATGTTTCTCCAGTGCATCCCTAGTTGATGCCAAGAAGGCGTTTTACAGGGATGTTATTTTTTTTTTCACACGTCTCCTGTGGTTTAAACCCTGATGCTATACTTTTGAACTAAGTTTGTAGAGCTAAACTTCCTAAAAGAGAAATTCCTAGCTTATAGGGAAGGAAGAATCCATGTTTTGTCAAAATGACCAAACTTATTCCAGCGGTTTTCAGTTTTCATTCAAAAATTGTGATGCCATTGTTATAATTATGGAGACTCTAAACTATGTGGGAAAACATAAAAATGTTTGGGCTCTTAGACTCCTCCCTCCCGGATAGTGTGTGTGTGTGTGTGTGTGTGTGTGTGTGTGTGTGTGTGTGCGCGCGCGCGCACATGTGCTTATATAGTTTCAAAATACTTAATATAGAATGTGGAAGTTTTTTGTTTTGTTGTCTTTTGAGACAGGATCTCAACTAAATTTAACCCTGCCTAGCTTGGAACTCAATATGTAGACTAGGCTGACCTTGACCTTGAACTCACAGAGATCCTCTCGCCTCTGCCTTCCAAGTGCTGGGATTAAAGCTGTGTACCATGCACATGCCCAGCCTTACATGTAGAATTGAAAAGATTTATTTATGAACACCTGTGCACCACAGCATTCATGTGGAGGTCAGAGGAGAACTTGTGGGGAGCATTATAACCTTCCACCGTGTGGGTCCTGGGGATTGAACCCTAACCATCAGGCTTGGCAGCAAACACCTTTTCCCACTGAACCATCTCTTTCTATCCCATGCGATCACATGTGTTTGGAAGGTTATGCAGTCTTTAAATGGTATCATACAGAATAACCTTTTTTTTGCTTTGCCTGTTGTTCTGCCCTTGGCTACTTAGGTCCTTTCTTAACCTTTCTCCCACAGCTGACATGAACGAGCCTCCAGCCTTGTTTTGTGTTATTGCTCAGCTCTTTGCAGCCTATTAATGATCTCAGATGCCACCAGGGGGCGTGGAAAACCTTTACATGACAGTCTGGTGCTGATGCTGCCAGACAGAATGCACCAAGCAGGAAGCAGCTGTCACAGACTGTCCTCTGCTCCTTCCCTTAGGGGCCAGGGTGATAAAGGCACGATGAGGAATTACTTCCTGTGTCTCTACAGCTGACCTTACCCCCCAGCAGCTCATTTACCTAAAGGAACTAACAGTAGGTCATAATATTAAGAGTACCAGCATCTTCAGGCAGAAACAAGGTGTTCTCCAATACTCCTCAGGAGCCTTTACATTGCTGTTTTCCTATTTACCAATATTCTAATGCCTATGCCTTGACACCTCTGGGAAGCAACAAAGTCCTTTCTGTGTTAGTGGACCTGTAAGTACACATTTGGATGGCGGATCCTGGGCTAAACCCTTTGCAGACAGTCTCTGCAGCTTACCCATGTGACTCAGGAAAGATCGCTAACCTCTCTGTGTATCTGATTCCTCATCATGAGAATAGTGTGGGGCACCTAAGAGTTTTGTGAGAATTGAAACCACACTTGTTAAGCCCTAACCACAGTCCCTGGCCCAGAGTGTCTCTATAATAATATACTACAGTTCTTACTGGAATTAGGCCATGTTTCCTGTTTTCATTTGGAGATGAGTATGATTTTGGAACAGATGTGTGTCTCTACAAGATGCTAGTGAGTGTGTGCATGCCTGCACACATGTGATGCGCACGTCATGGACCTCTATTTCTGTTAGCTGCTCTGGGGATGTGATAGCTTTGCACTTGGGCCTTTCTCATTCTAGGTGATGGGATTTGGCCTCTACCTAATGGATGGAAATGTCAGTAACATTTACAAACTGGATGCCAAGAAGAGAATCAACCTTAGCAAAATCGATAAGTTCTTTAAGGTTAGTACTTGGAGCTGGGGCTGGGCAAGTGGGGGGGGGGGGACAGAGTCACTAGAGCCTGAATCCCTGGGGGGAAGGAAGGGATTAGCCAGAATGCTGTAGTTCATAAGCATTTAAAGACCCTCAAGGGAAAGGAAGATAAGAGCACAGGCTCCAGCTGCTCCCACTAAAGCAAGGTCTGCTGCCCACCTGTGGGTGATGCCCACTCTCCAGACACAGCTGCGACTCCACTGGAGGCCTTGCACATTCTTTTTCCCTTTCCTAAAATCTTTCATCTGAAGACAGAGTTGTATCTTAGAAGACAACACCTGTGTTAATTTTCATTATACCGCAGAGCTCATGGAAGGAGGACTAAAGACTACAATTTTTTGTTAAAGATTTCCTCTTATGTGTATGGGTATTATACCTGCATGTGTCTGCACCATGTGCGTACAGGGCCTATGGAGGCCAGCAGAGGGCGTTGGATACCCTAGAACTGGAGTTACAGAGAGTTGTGGGCTGCCACATGGGTACCTGACATGAAGCCCTAGCCCTCTGAAAGAGCAGCAAGTGCTCTTAACTGTTGAGCTATTTCTCCATCTCCCAAACACTAAATTTTAAGTGGATTCATGTTTGCCATTGTAGGCACGCTGGGGCCTGTGGCAGGCTGCACCATTTAGGCACAATAACTCACCGGCATTCTGCTTAAGCACAATCCATTTGAATACCTTTGAGATCTGACCATAGGGCCCCAAAGCTTGCTAGTAAAAACTTGCAGATAACTTTTAAACCTTTGGAGTTTGGGCAAGGAGATGCCGCATTGGGAACTGAATTCTCATCCTGAATTTACTCTTAATGTAGGGTCCTACAGATGTGAGCCCTGCCCTGTGGGGGTGTTACTGTGAAAGACACTAGGTGAGACCAGGTACATTGAGATTTAAGTGGAAACATGAGTCCTCAGAGGGGTCTTGTGGCTTGATTTCTTAGCTTTTCTCCAGAGCTGCCCCAGGTGAAAACAGGCCCCATGTTGGGAAACTGCAGTGCCTGCCTTCAACCATCAGGAAGGAAGGTAGAACCAGGCCTACCCATACCAGGGTCTGCTCTGCTCGGCTACATTCTATCTGCGTAGCTTTGGAAAAGGCAGAGACTAGGCCTCCTGGAGCTGAGGGTTCAGATCCCAGCTCTTGCTCCATCTGGTCTGACTTCCTGAACGCACTAAGCTACTTCCTATGTGTCAATCCCTGTGCCAACACAATGAAACAGGGGCAGTGCTAACCGCACTTGGTTGTGTATGGATGGAGATAGTGGATGGTTGGTGGTTGGGTTTTGTAGTATGTAGTGTTAAACCCAGGGCCTTGCCCATGCTAAATAAGTCTTCTATTACTATTTATATCCCAACCTTTCTCTTTCACTTTTTATCTTAAGGTAGAGTCTCACTGCATTGTCCAGGGAGTCTGAAAACTTAGGGTCCTCTTACCTTTGTGTTATGAATAGCAGGGACTATAGGCCTTTGCAGCCATGCTCGGCTAAGACAGTGTTTGTAAAGTGCCCAGTCCTGTGTCCAGTGCAGGAAAGACAGACGTAGGTAGACAGCAGCCTCCCTCCCACATGTCCTGGGCTTTGGTCAGTAGATGTCTGCACTGTAATGTTAGGTCTCATGTGGACAGTCTTAGGAAAACCAGCCCCAGGCAGTAGCCCTCTGCCAGCTTCTAGTTCAGCTTGGAGCCATAGAACTCTCTGAGCTGTAGAAAGGACCCTGTTCTGGGAGGAGGCCAGCCATGTGGTGCTCTGCTTCACCTCCTGTGTGACTTTGGACAAGCCACTTTGCCTTTCTGGTGTCGATCACTTAAAGTATACTGTTGGTTGGAGGCAGGGGAAGGGCCTGTATGCTGGCTGGGGTTCCTCTCGATGCCAGGACCCCATGGTAACACTATTAGAAACAAATACTGGCCCTATACTCACTGAAGCCTTGCACCCTGCTGGTACATCAGCCCTGGCCAGCCCTGCCTGTGGCATCTCACGTGCTCTGTTTGCTTCCTTTGCAGCAGCTGCAGGTGGTGCCCCTTTTCGGCGACATGCAGATAGAGCTGGCCAGATACATTAAGACCAGTGCTCACTATGAAGAGAACAAGTCCAAGTGAGTGCCTGCCGTAATGTCTCTTGGCTCCTGTGAGGATGCCCAGCCTGGGCAGAGAGCTGAGGGACCACTTCAGTCCCTCCTCCCTCCCCAGAGCCCTGGGCTGGTGGATTCCCACAGAGCAGCAGTGCCAGAGGGGAACAGTGAGGATGCTCTGAGCCCTTTTGCACCAGCCCTTTGCTGCCAGGCTCTCAAGGGCTTAGAGCATAGCCACGCCCCTTGTCCTGCTCTGCGGTAACCCCCTCCCCTCAGTGGGACAGCAGGAGTCTAAGGACGGTAGCAGTCATCACCCTGGTTCAGGTCTCTGCTCACTTTTTGTGGCTGTGCAGTAAGTATGTGGTTAGCAGTGTGACTTGGATTGTTCTAGCTGTGACGTGGGTTGGTGGCCTCCCTTTTATGTCATCTCATAAATCATAGTTCTAGAAATCTATGCTAAGGCCTGGGAGTGAATCAGTGGCTCCTAGAGGGAATTTTTGTGTGTGTTTTGGGGAGTCCTTCTGATCTCAGAAGATATAGAGTGGTCTGTCTACATGCACATTGCCTACAATTAAGAGACTATGGTTATCTGTGTGGATTGGTGCTGGCCGCCCTTTGGTCAGGGTCTGCCTTAGCTTGGCAGTGCTGGTGCTTGTACCAAAGGCCCTGGCCCTGCACATACTGGGCAGGCATTTTACCACTGAGCTATAGCCTCGCTCCTCTTTTTACTCTTTATTTGGAACTAGGGTCTCATTAAGTGGGATTCAGTCTGCAGCTCAGGGACCACCTTGTATTTTTTATCCTCTTGCCTCTGCCACTCTTAGTAGCTGGGATTAAAATGGTACCAGCAGAGCCTGGGGATGATGCCAACACCTGTAATGCCCAGGGGAGGCAGGAGGATCAGGAGCTCCAGATCAGCCTCAGCAAAATTAGAACCTTGTCTCAAAAAAGCTAGGATACCTGCAGAGGGGTCTTCGACCTCCAGCCTACATCTCTCTGGAGAGCCAGAGATGAGTCTTTGGGGGAAATTCAGATTATGTCTGGCAGTCTTAGAGGGAGGAGCTTGTTGGGTCAGGTATCAGCTTGTAACCAGGCAGAAAGTCAGAGGTCTGAATGACTATGCCCCCTCTCCAAGTAGCTCAAAATGAAAAACCAGCAGTCCAAGTTAGAGAAGTCTCGCCACTTCTACACAATCCTTATGAGAGTCCCTTTGCATCTTCTTTTGAATTAAAGATCTGTCTAAACCCTTCTTCTGCCTGCTGGCTTCCCATCCTCTTCGTCTGTCTGCCGAGCCACTGGTTCTGAGCAGAGGAAGAGGGGCTGAGAGTGAGGGCTTTTGTTCATTTATTTCCTCTCTGATTCAGGAAGGTTTCCTAATGGTGTCTTTCAAAAGGATGGAAGAGAAAGAAGACAGGAGAGGAGGGAGGAGAATGGGAAGAGAAAAGGAAGGAGGAAGAGGTGGGGAGGAGGTGCCAACCATGCCTCTCAGAATGATAGGAAGTCTCCCACCATGGGTGCATCCATGTCACCAGGTCCTTCGGGGGAAGACAGGGAGGTTGCCCATCTTGGTTTTGCTCAGCTGCGATTCTAGCCTTTTGTGGCCATAGAGAGGCTGTGATCTTGGCCCCCATTCTTTCACTTAACTGGTAAGTATTGTGTGCTGATGTCCAGAGACACCTGTGATAGGATCTGGAGAAGGCAGAGACCGAACTCTCCTTTCTAGCCACGGTGCCTACAGAGGTGTCTCTGGGGTTAGACAGCCATTTGACCTTTTGGTTCCACCCAGGGGGGCCAGCTATGTTGTCTGAGGACCGGGAACGGCTAGTGTGCAGAAGGAGCCTATGCCACACAGGTGCCTGGAGCTGAAACCCATGCAAGTCCTGTGGTTTTTCCTCCCCAGGTGGACATGCACTCAGAGCAGCATCAGCCCCCAGTACAACATCTGTGAGCAGATGGTTCAGATCCGGGATGACCACATCCGCTTCATCTCTGAGCTGGCTCGCTATAGCAACAGTGAGGTGAGTTCTGTGGTTGGTCCAGGGCCAGCAAAGTACAAAGAGGCTGATGAAGAGCAGGCAACGTGGGAGGAAGGAAAACATTGTCAGAGGTGCAGGGTAGGCTTGCTGGAAATGGGTCAAAGTCAGACCTGGACTCTGGGCCTCAATCCCCTCATCTGCAAAATGGATAGAATGCTAGTAATGCCCGAGGAGGATGGGAATGGCAGGGGGTCAGTGATGGAAAGAGGATGATTGTTAGCAGGTACAGAGAGAGGTACAGTCAGGTGAGAGAAAAAGTTTCCTTCCATCCTTTTCCTTGGGATATGTCTGCTTTTACTAAATAGTAAATATTTAAGAAAAATACAGGTTTAAATAGCCAAGTAGGAGGAATCACTTGCAATGTCCTGCCACACAGTAGAGTGACAATGGTTCAGCCTGAAGAAATGACATCAGAGGTGACAGATACGCCAGGTAGCCCATCTGTTCTCCACATATTGTATATAATGTTGAATCTTTATACTGTGTCCCATAGATAACTACAATTGTGGTATCAATCAAAAATAATCTAGCTAGGCATCTTTTAAATAGGGGTAATGGTAGCATTTATCTTGAAAGGTTCACTGACATAACTAACGCTAGGGTGGCTAACGTGTGTGCTGTGCCTGGAGGACCCAGTAACTACTCATTCTAGCTGCACAGAATTCATCCCATCAACACCATCACTGGCCAGAGACACAGTTCTGAATGTTCCTGCTCCTAACACCAACCTAAATATGCATAACTGTGCAATAGTATATGATCACCGCAAAACTATCACACCTGGACTCAGAGAAGGAAAAAAGCCATAAAGTTGGCTCAGTGGGTAAAATGTTTGCTTTGCAAGCATGAGGGACAATGCGTTTAGATTCCCAGAACTCACATAAATCCAGGAGTGGTAGCACAGCATGTCTGCAATACCGGAGATTCTACATCCAGGCAGGAAGCTTGTGGACCAACTACCTGTTGAATGCAATGGCCAGCAACAAAGAGACCCTGGCTGTCTCCGAAAACGGAAAGTGAAAATTGACACCCATAGTGGTCCCACATGTGCATGTATATAAAGATCTGCTGTAATCCTGATGACTGTGTTTTTTAATTTTTTCTCTTATTTTAATAAAGAACATGATTATTTCACAGAATTAGGTATGCAAAAGGATAGAAAACCAATCCCATAGAATCTGGCCATCTCAGAACTAACTTTTATCATCTTTGTGGGTCCTTTCCCATAGATGCCTTTCTCATTGATACATAAGATGTGCTGTTTATGCCCACATAGGTTCCCAGATCTGCACGCCCATATTGTAGAAGAGGCCACATTTGCTTCCTGGCTCCATCGTGTGGCCAATGGCCATAGTGATCATCTTTTTCCAAATCCCAGCTCAGATAGTACCTTTGATCATAACCTAGCTTGCTTGAAATGGGGTCTGACAGATACAGTGTGGATCAGTAAGCTTGGAGCCCACAAGGACAATGACTAGGTCAAGTCCAAACCCATAACTTTTTTTTTTTAACCAAATGTGGCCATCTGAGATAAGCTGGAGAATCATCTGTCCCAAGTCCTGAGGCCAGAATTCATGTGTCTGTGTCATCTGAGACTAATTCTGCCCAAAGGCTTTTTAAATTATTATTACAGTTACCTCTTGGTATTTATGTGCAGTTGCTACAGGATATACTGCTGACATCAGAGTCTACAGATGATCAGTGCCTTGTAAAAGCAATTGTTTTTTAATATAACCTTGAATATATTAAAATTGTCTCTATTTTTTATAAGACCTAATACAATGGGCAGATGCCATATATTCTAGTTTCATCTGTTATTATGATAAAATACTCTTGAGGAAAGGCAACTTAAAGAATAAAGAGTTTTAATTCACAAACTCAGGTTGTAGTCCATCACTTTGAGCCATAGAGATAAGAGCTTGAGACAGCTGCTTACATCACATCCACAGTTAAGAGTAGAAAGAAATAAATGCATGCTTGCTCCCTGGCTTGTTTGCTTATACTCAGCTCCATTTCTCAGTACCTCTTGTTTAGGGAATGGTGCCACCCACTGTATGCTGGGTCTTCCCATATCAATTAACTTAATGAAGATGATCCCCCATGGGCATACCTACAAACTAACCCAGTGTAGATAATCTCTAGTTGAGATACCCTCCCAAGGTGACTCTAAGTTGTGCCAAGATGGCAATTAAAACTAATTCTGTCTAGCGACAGTGTCAAGATCATAAGATATAGATACAGCATTTTCCCCAAATATTTCCCATCTACCATTGAATGAATTTGTTGGCTACAGACTACCTCAGACACATAGGGCCAAATGAACATGCTGTGTGCATATGTGTTATCAGTTTTCATGACTTTTCAGTAGTAACAATCCATAAAATGCCATAAACTCTAAATTCAAAACCTAGAACCAATGCCCACAAAGAAATTAAGAATTCCCATGAGCCTCTTGCCACAGTGTTTTTATCAGCACAGAATCTTGTATTATCTCCATTTCTATCTAAGGATACCTGTGTGATATTTTGTTGTTGTTGATACATTGACATTAACTGAGGGCCAACAGCACCATGACTTCTGTTTAAAGGAAGTATTTTAAGACATCTGTCACAGCTTTCCTGCAGGTAGAGCATGGCATAGCAAGCACAGTGGTTCTCAACCTGTGGACCAAGACCACTTTAGGAGTCAAACAGTCCTTTCACAGAGATCACCCAAAACCATTAGAAAACAGATACTTACATTACAATTCATAACAGTACCAAAATTATAGTTATGAAGTAGCAACGAAAATAATGTTATGGTTGGAGGTCACCACATGTTGGAACTGTATTAAAGAGTCACAGCATTAGGAAGATTGAGAACCACTAGCCTAGCACATCAGTCCTGTTTGAAAGTGTTAATTAAAAGCACAAAAATGTGTGTGGGCATCCTGACACTGTTCAGGCTACACAGAAGATGCTAGCTTGGAATATGAGAGCTAAACCAAAAAGGCAGAGGCCTCTATTCCGCTGGAGACATGTAGACATCTGCAGGGGATGGAGACATTGCTACAACTGTTAATTTGGGAAATTACAGTAGATAGTAGTGATGAAACAAATTTATAAAGATAGTGTCCATCATTAATGACTACTTGCATATACATACACACATATATGGACATATATGTGTATATATGCCATGTGGATACATTACACCTACAGACATTTGTATCAGATCTTTTTAATCAGTGCATCATAGCTAGTCAACAAATGGTGACAGCATCTTAGTGATCTGTGATTAGCACTGTGTGTGAAGTAGACCATGAAACCAGAAGGAACCCCTTGAAGTCACAGTGTTGCATGAAAGTCATTGCTTGCATACACACTCGTATTTAATATCATTGCAAAGATGAGCCACTTAGTCTGCACTTCCTGACGTGAATAGTCAGGATAGCCTTTGCTTTAAGGCTGTAGGTTGAGGGTGAGTGGGCACCTGAAATGACGCCTCCTGAATTAGAACCCCCAGCCACTTAGAAGATGTCAGCAAGACAACTGTCAAAGCCATGGTCATCTAGCAAAGGGAGCATAACGACTGCACAGTTTTTCCAGGGGGAATTTGTGGAGTAATGTTCACAAGCCTCAAACCCATGGACCGTGAGGTGAGTATGGAGTTCTCTATCCCTCAGGTGGTGACAGGCTCAGGGCTGGACAGCCAGAAGTCAGATGAAGAGTACCGGGAGCTTTTTGACCTGGCCCTTCGAGGCCTGCAGCTTCTATCCAAGTGGAGCGCCCATGTCATGGAGGTGGTAGGTGTCGCGAGGTGCCAGCCCTCACACTGACCTACTTCACATGGCATCTGTAGACCACTACCTCTACTCAGTATTCTGTCTTTCAGCATATAATTCGTCTACCACAACTCTTACCCAACCGAAACCTACATTTTTAAGTATGTTCATGGAACTGTATAACCTTTAATTAAGAATATTTTCCATCACTCAAAATAAATAGCTAAAACCACACCTGGGACCAAAGAGATGGCTAGGACCCAGCACTGACATTTGGTGTCTCATGGCCTCTTTTAACTCAGCACAGATTGATGCCTCTGGCTTCTGTGAGAACCCACACTTTGCATCCCCACAAACAGCCACATAAGCACATAAACATCATTAACAATAAATATTAAAAATAAAAACCCACTTCTATATCACCACATCCCTTCAGCCCTCAGCATTCTACTTTCTATCGCTGTATGCTTCCCTACTTTAGATGTTCCATACATAGACTCAGCACATGATATCTTGTGTCTAGGGCTGTTTACTTTGTATTTTCAAGGTCTTCCCCATCCTGTGTAGTCAGTGCTTTCATGTCAGCATCCATTAGTGTGTTAATGACTTGGCCATTTTGCTCCACATTCCTCCAGTGATGGGCATTGGCTGTTTATTCTCTTCCCAGTACTCTTGGAAGCTGGTTCACCCCACAGACAAGTTTTGCAACAAGGACTGCCCAGGCACAGCGGAAGAGTACGAGAGAGCCACACGCTACAATTACACCAGTGAGGAGAAGTTTGCCTTTGTGGAGGTGGGTGCCAAGGCTCTTCTCTCCCCACCTACCCCCAAACTGCTGCTCCCTGGGTTCCGGAGTTGTTTTGATCACCCAACAATGTTGTTGTTGTAACTTGCTGCCCTTTTCTGACTTTTCCCATCCAGCTTGTCCTCTGTCAAAAGTTACTAAGAAATGTTGAGAGAGCCAGCTAGTTTAAGGCTCCAGCATTAATTCTGAAGGATTCCAGAGGCCCCTAGTGGTGGAGCAGTTGCTAGTTACTGGGGTAGTTAGAGTCATTTTTCTTTAGGAGCATGGCCATTGGTTGGTTCCCTGTGCCCCAGCGGATGACTCCATGCCCATGTACTAACTGATTCACTGGGTTAAACCATCATAAATAGATGAATAAATAAGTGCTTGTGAAAGGTTGATATGAAATTGGGAGGGAGGTCCTGAGGAAGGTTTGGAGCAGGGTGAGGATGGATATAATCAAAATATAATGTATCTTAGTTAGGAGTTTCTATTACTGTGATGAAACACCATGACCAAAAAGTGATTCGGGGAGAAAGCAGTTTATTTGGCTTACACCTTCATATTGCTGCTCTTTATCAAAGGAAGTCAGGACAGGAGCTCAAACAGGACAGGGCCCTGGCGGCAGGAGCTGATACAAAAGCCATGGAAGAGTGCTGCATACTGGCTTGCTTCTCCTAGTTTGTTCAACCTGCTTCTTTATAGAACCTAGGACCACCAGCTCAGAGATGGCACCATCCACAGTGGCCTGGGCTCTCCCTCACTGATCACTAATTGAGAAAAATGCCTTATACCTGGATCTCATGGAAGCATTTTCTCAACTGAGGCTCCTTCCTTTCTGGTGACTCTAGCTTGTGTCAAGATGACAGTACATAATGTATACGTGTATGGCATTTTCTAAGAAGAAATTAAAGTTTTAAAATTATATGATGTGGTCTGGCAAGATGGCTCGGTAGATAGGAGCACTGACCAGACAAGCGTGAGAACCTGAGTTCATATCCCAAGCACCCATGTAATAAAGTAAAACATGATCACACCCTTAATCCTAGTACTGTGGGGATAAGACAGATGATAGCTGAACTATACCCCTAACCCCCTTTTGCTTTGACTTTTCTGTTTGTTTTTGTTGAGACAGAGTCTCATTTATTTACCCTGGAACTAACTTGGTAGTGAACTGCAGGCATGTCCTGTTAAGCCTGACAGTGTCCCTTCAACAGCCACAGCAATGCCAAGTCTCCCTGAGTGTCCCATTGTTCAGTGCCCTCAGAGGCCTTGGTGGCGGCCATCTTACAAATGGTCTTGGCCATTCTGATGGTTGTGTAGATGAGTCTCATAAACCTTCATCACTCTCATTTGCCAGAGTCTAACGATACCAAGTGCCTTTTCACATACTTATTGGCAATTCTTCTCTCATCCGGTGTACTCTATCAAAGACCTTATCCATTTTTAAAGGTTGTATTTGTGCCTTCTCATCATTGTAAGGATTCTTTCTGTATCCTCATCACTAGGCTTTTATCATGCATGTGTTACAAATTGCTTCTCTATTTGGTGACTTTGCCTCTTTGTTTTCTTGGCAATACCTTTTGAGGAACACTGGTTTTGTTTTTTGCTAGAGTACAGTTTATTTACTTTACTGTTTTACATATGTGAATGAGGGATTCTAGCTAAGCAATCTTTACCTAGTCTTAAGTTGCAAAGAAGCTCCCTCTGTGGTCCAACAGCCTTGTCCATTCTAGGTTTGGAATTATTCTCAACCCTTCTTATCTATCCATTTGTCTCAGTGTTTTAATTATGTGTTTGTGGGTGAGAGAGAATGTACACATGAGTGTCTAAGGAGACCAGAGCCATCAGGTACCCTTAGGCAATCATAAGTGCCCAACATAGGTGTTGGGAACCGAACTTTGAGTCTGCTAAAGTAGTTAATGCTCTTAACTGCTGTGCCAGCTTTCTAGCCCCTATATGAATGTATTTTGTTGTTGTTGTTGTTGTTGTTGTTGTTGTTGTTTTTAATTTCACATCTGGGCAAAGCCCAGATCTTTTAGAGTCTGACCACCTTTGAATGTCTCTCTTATTAGTTTTTTTCACAATACTTTATTGCAGCAAAAGCATTCCACTCTTTGGCTTCTGGGGTTAGCCTCGCCTTCTGACCAGGTTTCTCACCCTAATTGCTCATGTTTTTGATGTTGTCTGTTTGCTTGTTTTGGGGTATCTTGTTTTTCTTATTTTGTTCTATTGCTTTAATGTCTTAGAGAGAGAAACAAGCCTCATATGTAAGCTCATCCGTCCTTCCCTCATTCCTTTCTGTTCAACAGAAGGCTCCTGTTAGGGGCTTGCAGTCAGATGATGGTGAACTGCTTCATGAAGCACAGTCTTGGTTTTGGAGCAAGATATGAGTATGGTTTTTTTAAATATCACTTATGTTGGTTTAACACAGTGGCTACAAGTATACATGAGGTCTACTGTGACATGTCAGTATTGTGGACACAGTATGTAAAGTTCAGTTCAGCTAATCTGCATATGTGTCACTTCTACTTATTGTTTTGTTGTGAACATTCAGAGTCCTCTCTAGCAACCATTTTGAAATATCCAGCTACTTATGCAGTGCTGCTCTCCCACTGTGATGTAGCATTGGAAACTTTCTTCCTACCCAACTGCACTCCTATACGTGGGAACTATCGCCTCTCCATTACTGGCTGCAGTACCCTTCCAGGATTCTGATGTCCACCATTTTATCATCACGTGTGTGTGTGGGGGGGTGTGGGTGCGTGTGGGTGCATGTGTGTGTTCATGTGTGTTACACATTCATCTCTATGTGGAGTCCAGAGCTTAACTTCCTGTGTCATTCCTGAGGAGCTGGCTACCTGGGCATTGAGCCAGAAGAACTGACTTGCTATGTCTCCTAACTGGAACTATCAGCACCGCCATGCTCAGCTTTTTTATATGGTTCTGGAGTTTGAACTTGGGTCTCATGCATGCAATGCAAACCCTTTACCAACTGAACTATTTCTCTCCAACCCCTTTCCCTTTTTCTTTTTCCGCCTTATTCTGTGCCCCATGTAACATGGTCAGTGGCCTCCAGTTCCGTCCATGCTGCTGCATATGGTGGAATTTCTTCTTTATGGCTGTGTGATCTTGCATTACTCATATCTACCACAGTTTCTCTCTCCACTCACATCAGAGACCACCTTAGTGGTCTGTAGCTGTTGTGACAAGTGCGACAGTTAACACTGAGTTCAGGAGTTTATTCCTACTGGTTTCACTGCCCTCAGTTACACCCAGAAGCAGGATGGCTGAATCATGTGATACTTCTATTTCTAGCTTCTCAGGAAACACCATTCTTTTTCTCTAATGGCAGAAGTCATTGACGAGCCCACCCACAGTGCATGTGCGTTCCCCTTTAGGATAACTACTGATGGAGAGAGTACAGCTCTGATCTGTGTGCATTTGGCACCATTTTTCCCCTAGTCCTGACCTGGAGTTTTAGAGGCGTTGGCCTCACACTCTGGACACCTCCAGTGCCCCCTCCCTGCATCATGGGAAAGCACAGGGAGCAGATGGTTTGCAGAATGGTAGCAAGGCTGGATCTTGCTCTGTGCCCACCAGGTGATCGCCATGATCAAGGGCCTGCAGGTGCTCATGGGAAGGATGGAGAGTGTCTTCAACCAGGCCATCCGCAACACCATCTACGCTGCCCTGCAGGATTTCGCCCAGGTGACGCTTCGCGAGCCCTTGCGGCAAGCAGTTCGCAAGAAAAAGAATGTCCTCATCAGGTGTGTCCTTGGATGGCCCCATGCAGGGGACTGCAGAACTGAGGGATTCGGGGCTGGAAGAAGAGGGCCTCCTAGCTCAGTCAGCTTCCAGCATGGCTTTTACACACAGAGACACTCTGGCAGTGGACATTTGTGATAAATCAAGCTTCCACTCAGGACTGGAACTCAAACCTACTGCTGTCCAAAAAAAGTGAATTATTCAAATGAGTTCCATGAATGTCAGTTCCTTGTTTGTGAAATGGGATCACGGTGCCCACTGTATCCATGGCTGTGGGCTGATGAAATGGGATAATCCATGTGTAGACTTCATCGCGTTTAGTGTAGAGAGAACAGGCTATAAATATAAGCTCTTTTTAAAATTTTATCTATGTATACTCTCTCAGCCTAGACACATGGAGGAGGGTCTAGGCCCTGCTCCAAATGATATGACAGACTTTGAAAATTCCCCATGGAAGGCCTCACCCTCCCTGGGGAGCAGAAAGGGAATGGGATAGGGAATTGGCGTGGGGGGCGGGGAGGGGAGAGAGAGGGAAACTGAGATTGGCATAAAAAAAAAGCTTGTTTCTAATTTAAATAAAAAAGGTTTAAAAGGGAAAAAATAATCCATGTAGTTACTGATGCCACCCTGCCATCTCCTTTCACCATCCCCAGGTCCTGTCCTCAGTTCTTAGGTAGTCAGTGGTCACCAAAGCCACAGGAGCCACTTGTTCAAAGCACCTTATCAGCACTAAGAGCATCCCTGAGTGGGTCCAGGAATGAATGTCCAAACATTCAGACCTCTAATGCAGGAGGTGCTGAGACCCTCTGGGACCTAAAAACAGCCTTGCAGACATATGGACTAAGTCCCACTCCTCCTTCCCCAGTGTCCTGCAGGCAATCCGCAAGACCATCTGTGACTGGGAAGGAGGCCGAGAGCCTCCCAATGACCCATGCTTAAGAGGGGAAAAGGACCCCAAAGGTGGCTTTGACATCAAGGTACCCCGCCGTGCTGTGGGACCGTCCAGCACACAGGTAAGCGGTTCCCAGGCAGACTGGCTCCTCTGACTCCAGGCCAGTTGGACTAAGAAAGGGCAACATGTTGAGGCATGGGGTAGTGGGATGGGGATCCTTGTGAGGAAGGGCAGGGCTAAGCAGCTGCTCTGGGGTTTTCCTGATGTCTTATTTTGATGTAAAAGGAAGATCACTGGCCTAAGATTCAGGAGACCTGGGTTCTAGTCCTAGACACCTGTGTGACCTTGGACATGTTACACAGTCTCTCTGTGCCTCAGTTGTCTAGTCTGACCAATGGTGGTAGCACCATAACCACCTCCCCAGCTATCTCCTAGCCCTGTAAAGCTCACATTCTGCAGTACAGAGGGGTCTAATGTGGAGTTCATGTGCATCGGTCTGTGTATTGTAGTAACCACAGCACCCTTGCCCACAGTGGCATCCTGGCATGGGAATGTACAAGTTCTGCCTCTGACTTGCTGTATGTTCCTGGGCAAGCAGCTTAACTTCTGAGCTCCTCTTATCTTCTAAAAATGAAAACTTTGGATGAGTTCACATTACCAACCAAACACTTTTCTAATTTTTCCATTCCTTTCCAAAAGACACCCACAAGCCTGGCAAGCCTCCTCCCTTCAGAGACAGTCTGATTGTCAGAAATACTATTGAGTTCCCAGCTGGAACTTCTTCAATAAGATGATGTCTGTGCTCATCCAGTACAGTCTTAAAATTTTACATGGGGTAAAAAGAGTGAATCATGGAGTTAAGTCCTGATTGCTGATGTAGGATAAGGTGTTTCCTGGTCTGCTTTCTGTGGCCTTTGAAAACAGATGGGTCTTACTGTAACCATCAGGGTCTTGCAGGCTCCAGAAACCCCAAGCTGGAAGCTCCTCCTTGTAGGACCTTTCAAGCCTGTCTCTGCCCTGGATCACCTGAAGCGGGCCATCTGAGCCCCTTCTGACCCCTCCTTCTGTGTGTGTCCATGTCTGGGCAGGGCTGGGGCTGAGCAGGGGCAGGTGAGTGTTTAGCAGGGTGATGATCACTGACCTTAGCTTTGCAGCTTCCAGTGACCAGTGTGCACAGACTTGGTCTTCTACGTGTGGGACAGCCCAACGAAGCCTTTATAGACAGTGCTGAGTGCCCTAGTGTGACTGATCGGCTCTCAGGCATTTCTCTATGCCCTGAGAGGGGCTAGGAGAGAAGGATGGAGGGCTTACAGACATCAAGAAGACAGGAGAGGGCATGTACCTTTGTGGATGATTTGGGTACTGCAGGCCAGTCACCAAAAGCTAAACCCCACCCTCAGGTGCCAGCCGAGTAGGGTAGCACAGACATGTTTAGTTGACTCCTAGACAGCCCCAGAGCTGGAAAAGTGCTGAGGGGTAAACTCACCCCTCCTCCTAGCACAGATGGGGAAACTGAGGTCCAGAAAGGGGAAGTGACTTGTCCAAGTCACAAGATGAGTCCCAGGTAGAGGTGGGACAAGAACCCAGGTCTCCTGATGCCCACCCTAGGGCTCCTTGACAGCCCTCAGAATGCAGCAAGTGTAGGCATCTCACAGAGTTGGGCAGTAGCCTGTCCTTGTGGGTTAACTGCCTATTAAAAGAATACAGTTGGCTAAAGAATTGACACTGGTCAAAATGAACCCACTCTTGAAACAGTTAGAACTGGATGTGAGTCCAGTCACCACAGCCCCTTTCTTTGGGGGACTCCAAGGCCATCGTTAGCACTGTACTTTGATACTCAGAGAGAGAGAGAAAGAGAGAGAGAAAGAGAGAGAGAGAGAGAGAGAGAGAGAGAGAGAGAGAGAGGCCTACTGATAGGTTCATTGAGGGTGGACTGTCTAGGAAACCAGCAAGAGTGGTCATCCCTTCCCCACAGAGAGGACCCTGCATAGAGTGGCATGGCATGCAGATATGTGACTGCCAGGCCCACGGTGGGTGAGACCCTAGGGCCCTTCCAGAAGCAGCGGAGAGTAGCACGGTTGCTGGGAGGTCGGAGCGTGTCGTGTGTGGCCCCTGCAGTTGTGGTGGCTTTCCCACTGTATACAATACCTCTCGCTTTTCTCTCTCTCTCTTTCTCTCTCTCCCTCCTCCCTGTCTCTCCTGCCCTCCCGTTCCCTCTTCCTTCTCTCCTATCTATGTCTTAGGCCTGCCAGTGGTCCCCGAGGGCTTTGTTTCACCCCACTGGTGGCACACAGGGCCGAAGAGGCTGCCGATCCCTGGTATAACACCGCCTGGCTGGGTTGGTTTGGGTGCCTACTGCGGGAGGCAGCAGGAACAGACTAGCCCGGCTCCTCAAGGCCCTTTCCAATCCTCAGAGTGAAAGACAAATGGTGTGAAAAAAATCTAGATTAGCAGGAAAGAACAACCCCCCTGCACTTAGGCCCTTTGCATGTAGGGCACTCCGTAAGCAGTAGTGTCTAGTAGCCTCCTGTGTAAGTATGACTTAACCCACATTCCACCCAGAATCTCTGGAAGGCTGTACAGTGCAGCCTACGCCTCCAGAGGGCGCCAGCGTTCACTGACAGGCTCACAACACGAGGATCAGAAACAAGGTGTTGGTGGGAGGGGTGCTGTTCTGAGTTCTGTCCGTTTGCGTAACTCCTCAGAATGTTCGCACCGAAGGAGACTGGATTGAGAACATCTCCGGTCCAGTCCCTCCTGTTAGATAAGGCAACTGGAGCCCAGAGTGTAGACTTTGTCGTCTAAGGTCACACAGCAAGTCAACGGCAGTGCTTGGCTTTGAACCTGGGTCTTTTGATTCCTGGTTCAGTGCCCCATCCATGCTGTTACCATGGTCATCTGGGAGATCAGAGAGTGACTGCAGAGTGACATGGATGCCCATGCCCTTGGCTAAGCAGGGCAGGCAGGAACCTTTCATGGGCCTTAACTACCTGCCATTGTCAGGTGCACCGAGGGGTGCTGTGGGCCCTAGGCAGAGAACTTTCCGAAGCTGGTCAGTCTGCCTCTCGGAGGTTTGCACAAGGGTGGGTGGCAAGCTCGGTGATGGAATGATTGCTTGCCATGTGCTGGGTCCCAGAACAGCAGGGAGAGAAAGGTTAATAGCTCCAAATCCACTTCTCTGCCTAAATCAGTGCTTCTTTAAAGACAGTTCTTTGTAAGAGCAGGAAGAAAAAAAAGAACGAGGAAGGTAGAAAGGGAAGGCAACTTCTCCCTCAGCATGGAGGGCCACTTTGACCTTATCTCCCTTCCTTTTCAAGCTGTACATGGTCCGTACCATGCTTGAGTCGCTCATCGCAGACAAAAGCGGCTCCAAGAAGACTCTCAGAAGCAGCCTGGATGGGCCTATTGTCCTCGCCATAGAGGACTTCCACAAACAGTCCTTCTTCTTTACGCACCTGCTCAACATCAGCGGTGAGCCTCAGGGCCCCCACCTGGGGGAAAGCAGGGGAGCCATCCACCTCCCAGGACAACCAAGGCGGTAGGGTTGGAAGTTGTAGAGATGGGGGGATGCATTTTGCTCCCAGGGGCCAAAGAATTATTTAAAAAACAACAAAAAGGAAAACCTTTCTGTCGGCTTGGGGAGGTAGGAAAGGCCAGGCTCTGTTGTGCCTATTCTGACCAAATGAATTTGTCTGGCACTCAGTCATGGCTAGTAAGGAAGGAGAATCATACAGGATGTGAGTCTGTAGCCCACTGTGCACCAGATCACCCTGTGGCTAGTTAGGAAGTAGAATCATACAGGATGCACATCTGTGCACCAGATTACCCCAGGGTTTTAGTTAGGGGGAATCAAACAAGAATGCACATCTGTAACCCAGCATGTACTGGATTAGCCCTGTGGCTACTTAGGAGGGGGAACCATACGAGATACACATCTGTAGCCCAACATGGCACAAGATCACCCTGTGGCTAGATAGGAAGGAGAATCATACAGGATGCATGTCTATAGCCCCTTGTGCACTGGATCACCCTGTGGCTAGTTAGGATGGGGAAGGCAAACAAGGAGCACATCATAGCCCAGCATTCTCTGGACCAGCCTTTTGTTGGTCAGACTAGCTATAGATTCTGTTGAACCCATTGCTCCTAGTTAGGGAGGCTTCCAGGCTGCACCTGGTCCCATGCCCTCTTTTCCCTTTGCTCTGAGAGGTTGGCCGGAGTAGGGCAAAAACAAGTAGGACCCCAGTGACACAGGACTCTCAGTGCACCTGTGAAAAACAGTCCAGGCTTCTCCGTTAGAAAATGGCTTAAGTTGGGCTTTCAAGATTTCCAAACAGTAAGGGATCCAGAGTCACCACACACAGGGATGAAGAAGCCATGCTTCCTTGAAAGTGAACACTGGTGGGTGTGTTCTAAAAACACACCCATGTATGTAAGTCCCACTTCCCCAGTTGGCTCTGTAGGGATTTAGTGGACATGATGGGAAGGCAAATGTTTGGAAACATCACCGCCCCTTCCCCCATCACTTGTCCTGTCTCAGAAGCTGGTAGATGCCATTCCCCATAGATGCTACTAAGCAGGCTTCAGGCACAAGACAGCAAAATCAGGGAAGGGCCTTATATGACATGCCCACTGTGCACCTAGCACGCTGATGTCAGTCACAGTGACAGCCAATGGTTAGCGCCTCTGGTAAGCCAAAGCTCTCTCTCCCTGTACTTCCAGAAGCTCTACAGCAATGCTGTGACCTCTCCCAGCTCTGGTTCCGAGAATTCTTCCTGGAGTTAACCATGGGCCGGCGAATCCAGTTCCCTATTGAGATGTCCATGCCCTGGATTCTAACGGACCATATCCTGGAAACCAAAGAACCTTCCATGATGGAGTAAGAGGCAGGATTGAGCCAACCAGGAAGCTCCTGGGGTTGTGTGGGAGGATGGCTTGCCACTAACCTCTTTGCTTTACAGGGAAAAAAAAAAAAAAAAAAGCCTGTAGAGTAGAAGCTTTGTATTCTGCCCCAAGGCCTCAGCCTACCTGCATTCCCAACCTTTGTCCATCTCATAGCAGCCATGCTAGGGAAATTACCATCTCTAAGGAACTAAGAAGTGCTGTCCTAGCTAAGGTTTTTAAGACCCTGCAGGGGATCCATTAGCATTGTAAACTAATATCTGTGGGCAAGTTGGAGAGCGAGTCTTTCCTAAAGGGAGGCACTGGGAACTCAGGGAGAGGCAGAACGTTGTCTTCAGCTCCAAGCCATCTATCTGCCTCATTACCCACACCTCGTGTTTTCCAGGCCAGTGTAACTTGCCCCCACCCATGACTCTTGTGTTCCTTCCCAGGTATGTCCTCTACCCCTTGGATCTGTACAATGACAGCGCCTACTATGCTCTTACCAAGTTCAAAAAGCAGTTCCTCTATGATGAGATTGAAGCCGAGGCAAGTGACACACTTCCTTCAGCCCTGCTGTCTCCCAAGAGGCTGGGCTTGTCCAATACTTCGCAATTACCACAGACTGTGAGGGGGGATGTCAGTGGCTCCAGGGAACAATATTCATGATTGTTGTGGCTGTCAAACATAATCGTGCACAATGGCCCATTCCTCTCCCCCCTCCTCCCTCATCGGTGCTATATACCATGAGGGGCTTCATGGACCTTCTTGGGCTTATACACTTTGGCTTGCAAATGATGCCATCTGGAGGCATATTGCCCAAGCAGGAGGCCTCAGTTCTTGAGTATGATGCCAGCACCATGGGCTGAAGCCGACATCATGGGTACAAAATCCATACCATGTACGGTGGCCTTTGCCCTGTGTAATGCAGTGGGTGTCAAATAATAGGCATAGAAACCTTTAAACAAAGATGTCATCTTACACTTAATAGAAAGGAATCCAAGATAGATCCCCTGCCCCGATGTTGCCAGAACCTGCCATATTTCGTCTCACTATGGCCACTGTTTTTCTCTGGTCATTAATGGAAGATGTGGCTCTGATGTTTCCTGTCGGGTGTGACCTTTGTCTTCCTTCCAAACTTAAGTCTCCCATGAATATCGTGAAACCCTACCATGCCAGACTTTGTACACTAAAAACCAGAGAGATTTTAAGGAATGCTTGAAGGAAGGGACTTTTCTATTTCTAAGGACATTCTCAAGATTAACTCTGCAGAACAAGGAAAATCAAATACAAGGAGGCAACAAAGTCTTCAAGTTAGCAGGCTGCTAGGGGTAATCATGAAGGGGAGGGGGGCTTTCCTTTGTGTTTGCTGACCAAGCAGGGGGAGCAAAGAGGAGACTGGTTCCTGAGCCAGCTCCTCACTTCTGCATGGCCTCAGATGCTCACTTCTTTACCCTCTATCAACGCTGTCATGCTGCCCCAGAATGCACTTCAGTCAACCCTGCCCCGGGGCCTTCCCAACTGCCCACAGTCTGTGATCAATCCAGACAGGAACCACTGACCTCGATGCTTTCTCCTCACCAGGTGAACCTGTGTTTTGATCAGTTTGTCTACAAGCTGGCAGACCAGATCTTTGCCTACTACAAGGCCATGGCCGGCAGGTAGGCGAGCATACTCCTCTCATCCGCCTGGTGCCCAGAAGAGTCGATTTCCCTGTTCTCCCTTGTTTGGCACTTAAGGGAAAGCGTGTGCTTTCCATGGTTCCCGGCATTGAAACACACTGTAAAGTAGAATAGGTAGATAGTGTCCAAACACTTTTGATGAGGTCTCCAGTTCAACAGAAGGACAGAGAGTGATGAAAGCTAAAGTTCAGGATTTAACTGTTCGTGGGACTTTGGGCATATATGACAGGAGCTGGTTAAAGCCATCTTAAGGAAGCAGTGTCTAGGGAGTTAAATGAAACAAGGTGAGGAATGAGTCCAGAATGTGCAGGCAACGGGAACTTCTTGCCAAAGCCGTTGTGGAGGAAGTACAAAACTAATAGCTTGCCCTCCTGCCTGCATCCAGCAGCTGAGATGCTTTAGTTACATCATGGCAGTAGCCCATACAGGCCACTAGAGGGCGGGTTGTGTGCCCAGGTGCCATGAACCTTGAAGATCCTGGAGAGGGTTACTCCACCAAGAAATGGTTTCTGAAGCATGGCGGTGGCTTGACTTGATTTTTATTTTTAAACTTCACTCTTTGAAAATACAAAATCTACAGAGAATGTATTTAAGGTGTGTAAGGATGGACGAGGGTGGAGAAGTTTGAGTTGGAGATGTGTCAGGTTTATAGGCTTATCAGTATTTACCAGAAGATACTGATTTACCTCCCCATCCCATCCCCAAGGAACTTCTGGGTTTTAAAAAACATGCAATGGTACTATCATGAAGGAAAATACATTTATATGAAAGTATTGTGGTTCTTGATGGAAGTGCAGATGGACTAGTCCGCAATCAATCCCAAGAGCAATTCCCCACCTCAATTGCATCTCTCCCTGCCCCCGTCATGGAAGTGAGTGGCTCCATTTTGCTTTGACAGTCCTGACACATTCCAAATAGGAGTTGATATGCACAGCACATGAGATGCCATGAACACAGAATCTGCACTGACTAAAGAGATTGAATCCTAAACAACGAGCAGATAAAAGCACAAACACATATCCATCACTAAGTAGTTGCTTAATAGGTGTGAGCAGATCAGGTAGGATGCAATTACAGCAGGGGAGGCAGCATTCCCAAGACAATGCTGGTCCTGAATGTGCTGATATTTTCTGTGTAAACAAGCGCAGGCATGTCACATTCTGGGCACTCTCTATACCTAGTAAAATCTCATCTTGGGAGCTGGAGAGACAGCTTAGTACCCAAGATCAATTCCCAGTACCTCACAACCACCTGTAACTCCAAGTGGATTGGTTGCCCTGTTCTGTGCACTTGCGCACGCGCACGCGCATGCACACACACACACACACACACACACACACACACACACACACACACAGAGAGAGAGAGAGAGAGAGAGAGAGATTCATTTTTTAAAATAGCCCTCAACAACTTTCCTTGCAAGATGGGTGCTTTTCAAAGTGGTGGAAATTGAGAGAAGCTGGGAAATTCAGAGAAAGCACTAAAAGGAAAGGCTAACAGTACAATCCCATCCATCTGAAATAAAATGCTGCCACAAATCAGAGCCACCTTTATTAACTTTGGCATTTTAGCAGCCATATTTTAATAAGCGAAAGAAACATCTTACTTTTAATGTTTTATTTCATTCAACAAACTGAAGCCACTAAAATTTCAACATGGAATCAGTGTAAATATTATTAAGGAGATATCTCTATTTTCTCCAAGGCTTCCTAAGTCAGTAGATCTCAGTTAGGGCCTGCCTCATTTGAGGCATTCCATAGGCACTGTGGCTGATGGCTGCTACTTTGGACAGTGCAAGTGTAAATAGGTCTCTTTCCCACTTAAAACCTTTAAATGACTTCCAGTTCATCTCTCCATCCTGCCTCTCTATAAGGGTTCTGTGGACCCACAAAATCTGGCCTAGACTGATATAATGAATGAACCTGTTTCCCAGAACCTTCTTCCCTTTGTCTACCATGACTGACTTTCCTTCTCTCAAAAAGACCAAACTCCTCGTGTGTGAGATAACCTTCCCTCACTTTATCATTACCATTCAGCCTCTGTCCCACAAAACCCCTATGCAGAGACTTCCCATAATTCCTAACTCCAAATGATCCTGTTCTGTTGTTTTCAAAGTACTAGAAACGCTCTACAACCTCTGCCTCAATGTGGAAGATTAAATTGGACACCTGATTCTAGAATCATTGTGACACTAGAAATAACTGTGTGTATGTGTGTTACAGGCATGTATGTATGTGTGTCCATGTGCATGGATGTGTGTTTGTATCTGTGTATGTGATGTGTATATGTGTGTATGTGTTGCCTGGTAAATGGGGAACATTATGCACAGGATTCCCATTGCAAACCATTTTGTTTCCTTGCTTGCTCTAGCGGTCTCTTCATCACAAAGTTAGTACCTTGAGGACAGGAAGGAACTTGGTGTCTCTGGTACCTAGAATCACTGGGATGTACTAAGGATGCACTCAATTGTTTTTGTCATAAGTGAAGAAAAGAATAATGTCTCCACCCTGGATTGCCTTTCTCTAACTCAGAAATTCCATCTCACATGTTGAGCTTCTGTGGCCAGAAAGAAACGTGGGGAACCGTGTCCAGAGCAGCCACAGTTATGTTTGAGATATTTAAGACCGTGCTTCCTGGGTGGACCCTGTGCTCTGGCATAGTGGCTGGGCTGTTGAGAAACCATTTACTACCATGTTCAGTGCACTTATTTCATGCTTCTCTCTTTCCAGTGTCCTGTTGGATAAACGTTTTCGAGCTGAATGTAAGAATTATGGAGTGATTATTCCATACCCACCATCCAACCGCTATGAGACGCTGCTAAAACAGAGACATGTCCAGGTATGGTGGGAGAAAGCCATGATGGGAGGGATGGGAGGACAGACTCTGTGGAGATATGTGGACCTCCCTGCCTGCCTTCTCTCTGCCCCCAGACATAGCAGCCTCAGAACCCTACAAACAGTAGTGAGCATCCTTTGGTGGCTCCTCTCCAGTCTGCCTCTGAGAAGCTGGGACCACCATGGCCTGCTGTCACAAGCAGTCAGTCCCCTTCCCTCGTTAGCATTGTCTCCCAGAGACAGGTGACAGTCCACCCCTGAGATTAATAAAAAGGGCTGCAACCCCTTTAAATGAAGTGCATCAAGATAAACATGGGGTAAAATAGTCTTGTTTTTGTGCAGTGGTTTCTGTTAACATTTGTCCCCAGCTGTGGGGTAAGCACTTCTGAGGATAAGGTCACATCTCTCTGTTTAAACATTCTGGTCTGAGCTAGAAAGGTTTAACAGGTACCACCACAGACCCAAAACTTAAACCTGCTGGTGGCCAAACTGGTAACAAAACAGCCTGTGTACCATGATATCTGTGTGGTTATTTTGGGGTCCTTGGTCTCTGTGAAGGACCAGAGCTAAGGCCAAGTATATGCTGAAATGAACAGGAACCTATTGAACTTCCTGAACATTCATTGCTAGTCACAGGAGAGAAAAAAACTAGGCTCAGTAGATGAGTGACATCAGTTTCAGTGCAGCCATAATTAGCCACAGGGTCCCCATGTAGGACCTTAATCGGTTAGTAAGAAATGTATCCTACGGTAAGTAATACTTAAGAGTAATCACTAAGCACCTAGCAAAGCATAGCACACACAGCAGGTACTCAGTAAATGGTTATTTGTTGTCTTCATAATATCTGCACTAATGCTTATGTGGATCCCAGTGGAAGTTGTCTTAAGTTATATTTTCCTACCCTTTAATTGGCTCTTCATATGCTTGCTTTTCAAATCACTCCCATGAGGACACAAAGTAGGTCATGGCTAAGATGGCTACTGCTCCCTGGAAACTATGGACTGAACACAGGAAGACACGGAATAAACCTAAAGGTTAAATCTAGGGTGTCAACAGAAGTACTTCCTGAGGTTACAGCTTGCCCCAAGCCTCTTCCTACAGCCTGAATGAGTTATATTTTACTTCAGTGGGTTTTGTGTAAAGACTTCAGAGAAGTCAGAATAATAAGGTGTACAACATCCTCCAGTCTAGCCAAATTCATGGTGATGTGTGTTTCACTGTATTGAATTCAGTTTTTCTCTTTCTCATATGTGTGTTTTCTCTTATATACATACAGTAAACTTGTATATAAATGATATGCATGTGTTATTATACATACATTTTCTCTTAAATTTTCAAGAGTAATTGCAGGTGTCATGATATTTCACCGTGCGCATCTCAGCCAGTATTACCTAAAAACAAGGACATTCTCTTATAAAAGCAAAGCAGAGGGGTGGAGAGATGGCTCAGAGAAGTGAGGGCCTCCATTCAGATCCCCAGAACCAACGCAAAGCCAGATACAGTAGCTCACATCTCTGTAACAGTAAGACTGGAGATGGAGAAATCTCTGGAAGTTTGAGGGCCTGCTAACTTGGCATACTCACACAGCTGACAAGAGACCCTGCCCTGAAACAAAGTGCAGGGTGAGGACTTACACCCAAGGTGTGTGTCTCATCACCACACACATGCTCTGGCGTGCTCATGTCCACACTCCCACAAGCATGTGTACCCATTATACATGTATCATGCATACACAAAGATTAAAAAATTAAATAGAATCACCACTTTAAGAGATGTCATGATGCCATCTATATTCTACATACAGTCACTCCTTGATCCAGTAATGTTCTTTATAATCTTAGTACAGTTTCCTACCAGTACATTGTGTTTAGTTGTCAGACATCTGTGTAGGTATTAAGTAACCCCCATCCCACCTCTCTCTGCCATTCAGCTGTTGGGTAGATCAATTGACTTGAACAGACTCATCACCCAGCGTATTTCAGCTGCCATGTACAAATCCTTGGACCAGGCCATCAGCCGCTTTGAGAGTGAAGACCTGACTTCAATTGTGGTAAGACACTGTGGGCATGCAAGCTTTCTGCTCTGCTCAGGGGATGCCTCTGATTGATGCCTCGTTGGGAATGATTGTAGCTGTTCTGGGCCAGTTCAAGAGAAGCAGAGGATTTTTTTCATACCTGACCAGAGTGGCTGGAAAAGAGACATGAATAAGAGGGGAATGGTTTTACCATCCTTCTGGACTGAGAGGCAGGTGTGGGGCATGGAGGAGAGAGTAGAGTATCCTTGTATCGGAGATAACCATCCCTCTTTGGCTATGTCCTTAGGCTCTACAGAGTAGAGCAAGCAGGCAGAGTCCCCATAGGCTAGAGAAAGTAGCACAGGGTCACTGAAGGGCATGTAATAGTTGAGGGCCTGCAAGGGCTCTACAGTTGGTTGCTTGTTCCACTGCCTTCATCATGAAATGATGAATAGTTTTGAACACACCCCTGGGTTTTTCATTTTGCATCTATCCCTGTTGCACAGTCAGAAATAGACCTGTCCCCTTCTAGAAAATGGTAGTTGGAATTGCCTGCATTAAGTTTTTCTCCAAGAGGTAGCATAAAGGGCATTGAACCTAGGACACCAGACTCAGACAGACTTATTATCCCAGTCCTGTGCCTGACATTCACTAGCTCTCTTAGGTATCTTCACCAAGCCTGTTTCCTCACAGCTAGAGTGAAGGCCACAGCAGGAACCCACCAGGAAAGAATTTGGAATGGGTCCTAGTACTTGATAAACACTTAATAAGTAATAGCTTTTTTTTTTCTTTAAGAGAAAAAGAACTATGGGGCTGCAGTGTTCTTTGGGGGTTGAGGGAGGAGGGAATATCTACACATCTCTAAGCAGGACCTGCCACACTTACTCACCTGAGTCTTGAGTCACTTAAGAAAAACTGTAGACTAGTTCACATCCCTGAGATCACTTAGCTGCTTCTATCTTGGAAGATTCAGTTTTGTTTTGTACATGTTAAAATGTCCTCCTGGGCTTATCTCTCAAAAGGTGGGAGTTGGAGTTTGTTCTCTTTTGTTCAGCTCATTTGTTTTCCACTAATGTCTGGGGGGCAGGTGTCCATGGCCACTTCCCACTCACTGGAAGACACTGAATGTTCTCTTGGCTAGAACAAAATGAAAACATGCAGTGAAAGGCCTTATTAATCAGATGAGGCCTTGATCCCCACCCAGAACATTCTCTTCCCTGTGAGGGCTAGGAAGGACCCCCCTAGGGAGCCGTTCTCCTCTGGGGATTGGCCTTGGCTGAACAGCTTCTGTCTCCACACAATAGCAGAAACAAACCAAGGAATGTGCCTTTACACCTTTAAAACTGTTGTAAAATGTGGAGGTCACTGTGTGTGAAAAGATAGGCCCTACAGTGACTTGGGAACTCAGCAAGTATGCTGAGCAGGATGCTGAAGCCAAAGACTGGCAGGCTTTCTTTTGGCTACCATGTACTTAAAATATTGAGTCAACATGTAATAACCTTTGGAAGCATTCAAGTAAGATTCCAGAAGCTCTGACAGCACCAGACTAGCATTCCCAGCTGGCAGCCACCTCCTGGCTCTGACCACAGAGTGCCGAGATTTAAGCAGGTCCAGCTCTCCTGAACTTGCAGTTAACCCCGCAGGCCCAGCAGCCCCTCCTGGCATCTCTCTGACCTCTCAGAGTTGTAATCGTTCTGGTATGGCTAGCCTCTCCTTCTCCTCATTCCCGCTCTCTGTCCACTTGTTCTTCAAAATCACCCATTTGGCTGTCCTATTTTCCCATTTTGCTTTTGTGTCACAGTCCCAATTGAGTACTGTCTCCTCGTGTCCACCCTTTTCACACTAACACAAGTTTATGAAACTTAAAATCTTAGAATGATAGGACAAGCTTGTTCCCTAGATCTCATTATTTCCCCCCAAACAGGGTGCCCCAAGCAGTGTGCCAAAAGAGCTCAGTAAATGGGAACAGAGATGCAGGAACCAGCTCAGTCCAAGAGACAGAAGCAGAGAGCTGAGTCTGTTCTCTGCCTTTCATTTTTTTTTTCTTTTCTTTGTACAGAGACTAGGAACATTTTTCTTAACTACCACCACTCAATGGTGGTCGAAATCTAAATTTTCATATTCTTTGGGGACACTTAGGGTCTGCCATCCCTAGCCCATTGGAGCATGACAACAACCAGATGGTGTCAAAGCACCAGGCTCAACCCTGTATTATGGCCTCTCTGCTCTAACACACATAACCCATCCTCCAATACTGCCTTTTGCACCCCAATTAGTGTCCCATTCTTGTCCTGCCTGGCTCCATTGCCGTTAATGTTTTCAGTGTTTATCTGCATCCCTTCATTACAGCCATTCAGTCTGAGTTCCAGAGGACAAGCTGCAATGTCAGAAGTGTGGGCTGAGGCCTTGACTCTACCAAAGTGGACTTGTCAAGTTGGGGGGCTGTGGGGAGGCTGTGGCTAATGAGAAGGGAGCCAAGTCTTTGGCCACTGACTCACTGAGCTCCCTGGGAAAGCTGGCCCATGCCGTCTCAATATGGTTTTAGAATATAAAGATTGACCTCCAACATCCTGCATCTCTTCAGGCAGCTGTATTAAAGAGATGAAGGACTCATTATTTGGGATCCAAAGACCCAGAATGCCATCCAAGGCATGCTTTTATAGTCCTTGTGTGACCTTGGGCATGTTATTGGCCTTCTCAGCCTCTGGTTCTCCCCTCTGTAACAAAGCTGGCTTCACCAAAGCGTTGCCAGAGTAGCCTCAGATTCCCAAGAACTTGAGTTTTCATCTGTCTATTTAGACTTTGATCCTTTCAGATAGTAATGATTGACAAGTTGCAGAACAAGAAATGAAACCCAACTAGAAGGGTTTCCTTGTCATTTCATTTTCCGAAAATCACAGCTTCCCATTGTGCAAACCGGAACTCTGAGCTCATCCTCTCCTTTGCCTGAAAGTGGAACTCCAAATGGTCAGAGCCTATGGCGCACACAAGTTCCTGGTCACTGGGGCTGAGTACAGACTACACGTGCTTTGAGTGACTTGGGACCTGCAATCCAAAAGAGGAGCCATTCTATCCCCACCACACACACACACACACACACACACACACACACACACACACACACACAACATTTCCCCTTTAAAAATTCCAATGGTTGTTTTCTTTTGTTTTGTTTTGAGACAGGGTTTTTCTGCCCTGGCTGTCCTGGAACTCACACTGTAGACCAGGCTGGCCTTGAACTCACAGAGATCTGCTTGCCTCTGCTGAGATTAAAGGCATGCACCACCATGGGCTTCCATTGGTAATTTGATCATGGTTAAGAATGTTACCTTGAAGCCCTGATCCTGGATCTGGAGCCAAGTTCCTTGTCTTCTCAATGCCTCATTTTTCATATGTATAAGGAGTGCAGCAATACTGGCATATGTATAATTAGAACACACTAATTAGGTTAAAGCACACATTGCCGAAATTAGGTGATGCTTGATCTAAGAACCTAGAAATATCATATTCCAACTGAATAATTGGCTCTAAGTAGGTGGTAGCTCCTGTTTGACACTTCCTGCTGGACAGAGAAGTAACCTCTGCTGAGATGCAGTCATGTATCACTGGTGACACTGACACTAAGAGACGGGCTTTTTCCTCACCAATTAGGAAACCAGAAAGCACAAAGACATGCTTTCTACCCAGAGGGCTGCAGATGGGGTTTGTACACGGTCTGAGATCTTCCAGGTTACATGTAGCCTCCCTGCCCTATTCCGTCCCAAAAGTATCAGAAGAAGGGGCCATTGTTCTGTGCCACTGCAGGGAGTTCTAGTCCTTATATAGGAGGTCAGGAGGCCATCGGGGGGGGGGGGAGGTCTCCCCCAGATATAAGGAGTATGTGTGTGTGGGTGGCGGGGGTGTGGGCGGATGGGTGCATGCCTGCATATGTTTGTTACCTGCCACGCTTTAGCAGTCTCCGGTTTTCTCACTGTCAGGAGCTAGAGTGGCTGCTGGAGATTAACCGGCTCACACACCGACTCCTCTGTAAGCACATGACTCTAGACAGCTTCGATGCCATGTTCCGAGAAGCCAATCATAATGTGTCTGCTCCTTATGGCCGCATCACCCTGCATGTCTTCTGGGAGCTGAACTTCGACTTCCTCCCCAACTACTGCTATAATGGATCCACAAACCGGTAAGGGAACCCTGTGCAGGGGCCACTGGGCAGGGCAGGAAAAGAGGTTAGCTTAGCACTTCTGTTCATTACTGTGACAAGTGTTTGCATGGAGCCCTTCCTGGGTATGAGCTCTTACTGGAAGTAACAACACCATGGTGAGCTACCAGATAGCAATCCAGCTGCTTGGAGCCTTCTAACCAGACTTGGCCCTATCCAGGAAAGAGACGACCCCCAGTGTAGGCTTTCTCCTCCAAGAACGTGATGCAGGAGGTGAGCTATAAAATATTGGCAGGAATAAGTAAGGCAAGCAGCAGAAGTCTGTAATGGGCTACATGACTAAAGCTGGGATGAAGGCAACACTTTAGGGAGTTGGGAGTGGATAAGAGGATAAAGGTGGCCTGTAGAGGGCACAAACTCACAGATTAACACTAGAAAAACCAGAATTGTTAAACATGCAGGCTTTTTTTTTCTTCAGTGGAAGAAATCGGCACCTGTTTCCCATCCAGAAGGCTGGGAACAGATGTGCTAATACCTGGTAATCTTTGCTAGTCTATAAAGCCAGCCCTCGTTTAACCCCCCCCCCCCATAATTCTGAGAGATATTTCTCAGTCGCTAGAACTCATTCTTATGACAGAGGACCCCGTCTTTTGCAAAAGAGTTTACTGTTGAGCTTATTACAAACTGTTCCTCCCCAGGTTCAGAGTACTGTTTCTCAGTCAATAGAGCCCATCCTTATGTAAGAAGTACATGTACTATGCATCCTCCATCAATAGACTAAGCCATCCTTGTGCTTATTACAAACTGTTCCTCCCTAGGCCTTTTTCCTGAGCACTGTTCCTCAGTCAATAGAGCCCATTCTTGTGGGGAAAGTCACAGGTGCTTTGCTAAAGACATGTACTGGGAGTCTTGATGCAGCCATGCCTAAAACTTCGTTGTGATAATTGTCACAAGGAACCATTTCCCCAAAGTCTTGCTGTGTTCAAATGTTGTAAAAAAATAAACCACCTAGTGTCAGATTCCAGGAGTTTTGGCCCAGTGTTGGCTAACTAAAGTCCAGCCAGAATCCAAGTTTCATTCTCCCCTCATCTGGATCGCTTCCCTGCTGGCCATAATGCATGCAGGGATCCCTTCAGCAACCATGAAAGATGCAGTAGGGGCAGACTGAAGGCTCCATAGGCCATAGTAAGATCATCACCTGGGAGAGTTTGATGAAGGGCAGTGCTCTGATCACATTGTGCATTTGTAAGGCCATGCACTTACCTAGACATGTAACTGCAATACAGGCCTCTTTGCAGAGTAGAACTTTGCCTCCTGGAAGGAGCAGGTAGCTCTGGAGAAGGCACCAGAGCTGAGGAGGACAGAAGGATGGGTGGAAATGTGTGTAGGGTGACATCTTTGAACCCCTGGAGCCTGGATGGGGTGTACTGAATCCACGCTAAATGAATGGAAGGGTATGAGATGATGCCATACACAGATGCCCCTGAATCTGTGCATTGAGCAAGACATGCCAGCTTTATAAAGGTTTGACTTTATAGCACATTTGAGTCAGGGCTACACGCTAAAGCCTGCCTACAAACTATATATCCTATCTTGTAACAGTACATGACCTGAGACTGGCTGTGAGCAGCCCACGTACTGAGAATGGTGTTGCCATCTTTGTTTTGGGGATGCTTTGTCATCACCCCTCCCCCACTTTTGAGTGTGTATGCTGTTGTGTACATGTATGTATGTTTGTATATATGTGGGCACACAAATGTGTGGGTGTGCATGCATGTGCTACATGGAAGCCCCAGATTGATGACAGGAGTCACCCTCAGTGGCTCTCCCATTTTTGGCTCTCTCAATCAACCCATAGCTGGCTTGTTCGGCTAGGTTGGCTAATGACCTTCCTCTGGGGATCCCCTGAGTTCACCTTCTACCTTCCCAGGCTAGAACTACAGGGGAGAAGCTACACCCACCAAGCATTTTTCTGTGGGATCTAGGGAATCCAGCTTTGGTCCTCATCCTGATATGGCAAGTGCCTAATGGCTGAGCCATCGCTCCAGCCCAGCATTGCCATCTTGAGTTGCTGATTAGCAGAAAATCCAAAGAGGAAGAGTCTTGAAGATGATTTAAACTCACAGCTCTGCTGGATCATAGGCTTGTTCATTTGGGTGCTGTTGCTCATGGTGTTTTCCTGCTCAGGGGCAGAGCTGAGTCCCTGTTGCCAAGACATCTGGCCTGCAATGCTGGCCTCTTAGACAAGAGTTTACTGGAGCCCCAAAGAAGGCCACCTTCAGACCTAGCACACCCTGACTTCTGTGCCTCCTGGGCTCCAAGTTTCCCCATTTTCAAGAGGAATAGGAAAGTGCACAGTAATGGGGGTGGGGGTGGGGAGTGAGGCAGTATCAGAAGAACACAGCTCCCTTGTTGGCAGCCATCTAGGACATGCTGTAGGTGTCAGTGGGGAGGGGCTACTGCACTCTCCTGTCCCTTGAAGGGTGTCACTGAGACTCTGTTAACTGTTTCTCTGTCTCTTTTCTTCTAGTTTTGTCCGAACTGCCATCCCTTTCACCCAAGAACCACAACGAGATAAACCCGCCAATGTGCAGCCTTATTACCTCTATGGATCCAAGGTAACTAGTCATGTCCCATCCCACCTGTGCCAGACACAGTGGAGGGGAGAAAAAAAAAAAAAACAAATAGAAAGCTGGTGCCAGGATCAGAAAAGCCACCCAACGCTGTGGTGTTCAAGAGAGCCAGACAGAAACCACTGCAAGTACATTCATCTTTATTGGTTCACAGCGCTAGCAGTGGTGGAGTGAGCAAGCTCTGGGCTGGGGAACTGGGTGGGAGCTGAGGTGAGGGGTGAGTACTACGCTGAGGTCCGTGTATGGGGTATATGGGGCTTCTCCTTGTGGTTTCCCAGATTTTCCCAAATCTTGGTTGACTCAATATAACATAGTCTGCGGCGATTCTGGACTCTAAATATAAGGGGTTTACAGACAGCTTGAAGGCCATTGTAGATGTCTGGGGAGGTCTCTGAGAGAAAGGCCTCCTCTACCTCGTGTGGCTTTTGTTCACATACACACATCCTCATTCCAAGTAATTGCCGCACAGGGTCCTTTATACGTCTCTAGTCTGTCTGCCCATTCATTCGATGCCATTTAGTATATGCCCCTTGTAGGCCAGACATGGGTCTGCATCATCAGTGTACATCAGGGGTGAAGCGACATAATCTACAACTACCTATAATTTCATGTCCACGTGTATGGTGAGGGATATCTTTCACCAAGTCCCACCAATGCCGCAATATGTATAGATTTAATTACAATAGGGACTCATGTGGGAGGAATAAAGAAAGCCATGTGAGTGAGACATGTCTCTCACCAAAAAAAGAGGCCAGTGACTTTATTGCCAACAGAACAAAATCAGCCACCTTGATCCCATTTTCAAAGTAAGCAGAGATAAGCTTGCATGAATACGATGGTGTGAGGTCAAGAGATCTTCAGATTTAGAAGTGTGGTTAACCCAGAGAAGCTCTGCATGGGGCACTCAAATGGTGTGAGGAGGGGACATAAGGGGACAGGTGTCTTCTCCAGAGGAGTCAAACTGTTTAAGGTAATTCTCTCAAACCAAGAGAAGCTTGTAACCCAGGTGTGGTAGCGTTCACCTGTCTTAGTGCTAGAGAGCCAAAGGCAGTAGGACTGCTGTGAGTTCAAGGACAGCCTGGTCTACATGGCAAGTTCTAATCAGCCAAGGCTATGTAGGGAGACTGCATCCTCAAATACACCAAGGTGGGGGGGGCAGGGGGAGGGAGCTGACAGATATCATTTGAGGTGGCTCAGACATGGTTCACAAACTAAAAAGGATGCTTCCCTTTCCAGTTCTCTTCCAAACCTTACGTTATATAAAGGAGCAGCATTTATGTTAGTGGTGATGCTTGCTTCCCTTTTGATCAAACACCGGAGAGATGGTCTTAAGCCCAGAGGCATCGGCAGGTGGAAGTAGTCATCGAATTCAATATTATTTTGCTGCATTTACTCTTACACCTGTTCCCTCCTGTTTATAGTGGCAGGGTCCTGGATTTTTGTTTATGGGGTAATACGAAGCCATCCTCTAAGAGTATGTTTTAAAGCTGAGGTCAGTTTAAATAAAAGATGTTAGGCTAATGATAAATAGTGATAAGCCAGTCTGTGGCTTTAAAAAAAAAAAAAAAAAAAATTAACCTGGAGGTGCAGGGTGTGGTATGTGGTTGCCTAGAAGTTAGAACAGGGTTTTCATCCTTTTAGAAAGAATGGCTGAAAGCAAAACTCAGGGTCCACGTCAGACTCCACATTTCTTTCTAGTGTGTCACATTCAGGTCCAGCTCCTTTTCCTCTCTGTGACACAGCCATGGCTGATTTTAGTATTGAAACAAGGTCTGCAGTTCTTAACTAGGCCTCCAAATGAACAATACTAAAGCAACGCCTTGCTTGCCCCTGACATACCTTGAGTGTCTGTGCTTTCCAGCCTGGGGAACCGTTGTCATTTGGCGTCCATCCAACCCCACTCATCCAGACAGCACTGACATTTGAGAGGAGAGAAGTGGGTGGCCTATAGACAGATTTTCACATAGCACACACTATAGAGAACAATTTAGGCTGTGTGAAATGGGTGGTCTCCTCCCCATTGCTCGCTCACTCTCTGTAGTGAGGCAGTATGGCTGGTTGGTCACCACCCTCCCTTGCTAAGGCCACTGCACCCAAGGCATCCTGGTTGGCTTCGGCTTCTGGTTCAGCTTCTGCTCTGCCCCCAGAGTTCTTGCGTGACAGTTCCACAAGGGGGAGCCCTTGCAGATCTTCTTCCCTCTGACCCAGAGCTGGGGCTTCCTCTGGCCATCTTACCAACCCATTGGCTTCCTCCATGTGGCCAGCTCTGTAAGACCATCGAGGCTCATGACAACGGATACACCAGAACTGGAGGCAGATGAAGGCCAGCACAGCAGTGAAGCATGCCAGCAAAATGGCCATCAGCACCCAAAGGGAAATTTGGGGGTCTACCAGGGAGCCCCCTGCGGCTAGTGGACTCTTATCCAGGGTGTGGAACATGGTACAGTAGTGACTGTATGGGAAGGCAGCCTTCTTGCAGCTGATACAGAGGAAGTAGAGAGTGGAAGGGGCAAGGTGTTCCAACGCCACAGAGGTGATGGTTCGAGGCACCTTCTCCTCGTGATGGAAGCTGTAGCGCAGGTAGCCAGAGAAGATACTGTTCCAGTTGGGCCTGTACATAATATGGTAATAGTCCTCCAGGCAGGGCTCTGAGGATGACCAGGAGATGATGGCTCCCGTGTAAGACACGTTCCCAACCTCAATGTTCATCCCGGTTCTGGAACCAAATCACAGTGAAGAGTGACATACCCCCTACGTCAATGTTTATTTAACATAATGTAGCCAGTGCAGACTGAGCCTTTGAGATGGCCACAGACACGGGCTCCATCATACAGACAGAAAAATGGAGACCCAGAAGTTAAGCTATGTGAGCCAGCTAACGAGGTAGAATACAAGTGGGAGTGAGAGCTGGCTGGCTCATGACAAACATTGTCACCGCCGTCAGGCCTGACTAAGATGCACCCACAGGGCCCCAGCCACACTCATGCTGGCTGAAATCCATTACTGACAACATTGATGCCAGCCCTTACAAGCACTGGCAATGTGCAGAGAGATCAGGAGGACGTACCTTACGATTCTCAGATCAGTCTCTTCCTGACCCTGACTCTGCCGTGAGTGCTATGAGCCATTACCTAGAACATTCTGCCCAGTGTCTGGTTTGGGTTTTTTGTTTGTTAGTTTGTTTTAGACTCTGATTTGTGTTTCCCATGTCTAGTAGAGATTCACTGTGGCACCCTCCTGCCTAAATCCTACCTCAGAGCTTCTGGTAGTGTTTTGTTTTGTCTCAGGGTCCAAAGCACCAAGAAATTAGTTTCTCAGGTCAAGGTTGTCAGCTCCTAGGACAGCTTAACTTCTAATAGTTCCAGTACCATGACTTTTATAACTATGTAACCCAGTGGTTCTCAACCTTCCTAATGCTAAGACCCTTTAATACAGTTCCTTGTGCCTTGGTGACCCACAACCATAATTTTGTTGTTGTTGTTGCTACTTTGTAACTGTAGTTTTATTACTGTTGTGAATGTAATATAAACATCTGGGTTTTCCAATGGTCTTAGGTGTCCCCTGTGAAAGAGTTTTTCTACCCCCAAAGGGGTCACGTCCCTCAGGTTGAGAACCACTGGTCCAACCACTCACACAGCAAGTAAGCAGTTGCTGAATCCAGGCTCTGTTAGGTGACTTCTCACACAATAATAGACTCCATCCCCATCCTAAACATTAGCAGGCTGGCATCTCAGCTAACAGGAAGAGAAAGGACTTAGCCACTGGGTTTAGAAACAGAATGGTACTGCCAGATGAAGTGCCAACAGGTCAGATGAGCCCCGTTCAGCTTGCCAGCCTTGCTGCTTTCGTAACCGAGACATCAAGGCTTTGGGTTTTTCTTTTATTCTGTCTGAGGAATTTCCTCTGATCACAAATCTAGAGACAACGGTAGTCAACCTTTATATGTTCCGCTGACCATCTTTCCTGCCTTGTTCTGCACCCCTTCTCTGAAGCCAGAAGTGCAGATTGCATTGAAGGTTGAAAAGACACCATAAAAAGCAGTTGGTCAGACCGTAGCCCCAAGTGAATACTAAGGCAAACTGATTTCTGTTTTTATGCTTGTGTTCTTAGGGTAGATGAGCTGTGGAGAAATGTAGCAGTGTGATGCAGTTTTTCAGTCTTTGATTTTCTTCTCTAAATGCTTGGGAGAGAAAATCACTCCTTTCCTTGGCTGAGAATTTCTGCCCAGTAAATGGGAATCGACAAAGATGAGACAGGTGTGTGCAGATCCTCCCAGAGGAGACTGTTGGGAAGGAGACTGATTTACTCTCCCTCCTTGGTCTCGTCACACATGCTAACCTCCCCACACAGGGACCCCCACACCCAGCAAACACACTTCCAACTGCTGTAAATGGGGCAGAATTCATACCCTATAATACACAGCACCGTTCTCTGTAAAAAAAAAAAAAAAAAAAAAAAACCCTCCCATCGAGGTAATTGGGAATCCCATCTTCACATATGCCTTTCCTTCTATTTGCCTCCTCTGCTACTGGCTATGTTATAGCCTGAGTTCCTTGCAGCAGACATTTTTAGGAGCTTCTACTAAGGGTGCCAGCAGCATCTTCAGCTTCCAGAGATAAGCCCATCCCCCACCACTACCCATATTTATTTTTTCTTCCTGCCTTTTGTTGTTAAACTCTTCCTGGTTTTAGCTATTCAGTTCCCACAGCCTGGCCCTACTCCAAGCAGCATGGAAGGAAAAGCCATTTTCATTTCTAAGACAGTCATGCGTGTCTCTTACCTGATGCTGGCAGTATTTATGGTTAGACTTCTTCCTCTGAGAGTGGACCAAATCCGAGATGATGTGCTTTTCCCTCCTCCGCACTAGGCTCTCCTGGATGTCTCTCTCATCGCTGAGTAATGCCACTGTCGCCCCCGATGCTCACATTATTCATTTCTTCAGATCAGCATCATTCACCATGGCAACCAGCAGGCATCTACGCACAATGCTTTCAGGGACCAGTCTGAGAAGGCTTTTGCCCAGTGAGAGGAGCTTTGTAGGTTGATCTCCACAACACCACATTCTTCTGGTGCTCCTGTGTTTTCTCTGTAGTTGGCGTGGTGTGTGTGTGTGTGTGTGTGTGTGTGTGTGTGTACGTGTATGTACATGCACGCGTGTGCACAGTGCACATGTTATACCTATGCAGAGATCAGAGGGCAGCCATGAGTGTCATCCCTCAAGTACTGCCTGCTTTCTGTTTGAGACAAAGTCTCTCATCAGCCTGAAATTTCACCAAGCAGGCTAAGGATAGCTGGCCAGTGGCTTTTGCTAGCTCTCAGATTGCAGATTTACATGGGTCCTGGGAATTGAACTCAGGTCCTCAGGCTCATCAAGGCAAAGGGTTTACTGCTGAGCCATCTCCCAGGCTGGCTTCATATTCCATGTAGATCTTAATATGGATAGTGGTTTCAAAATGCAGAGACGCTATTCTCGGTTCCACAGGGAACTGTAAATTCATTCCCCTTCTCTCCCATCCTACTTTTCCACTGTAACTCTTCCCCTATCTGTATGTCCTCTCCTCCTTCTTGTCATTCCCTGTATTGTCCTCATGTTATGGTTCTGGGCACGATTCTTTTTGTTATCTGGATCCCGGTTCCTCCATCTATAAAGCTATGAATACAACAGGAGGAAATTATGGGCCCTAACATTTCGAATGCCTGTGCCCTTGTCAAGATTGCTCAACCATTATAGCCCCCAAAACTGGGTTGAATAGTGGCCCCTCAATGTCAACGTCAGAACATGCCTTATTTAGAAGTAGACTTTTTGTGGGTGGTAATTAGTGAAAGATCTCAAGGTGAAATCACCCTTGATTAACTCTGCTGACTGGAGTCTCCCTGAGGGAAAGGAGAAGGGTTGCACAGAAGGAGACACATAAAAGGCCGAGGCTGTCTGGAGGCAGAGGCGGGAATGGGAGCGATGGAGCCATAAGCCAGTGAGCATCAGAAGCCGGGAGAACAAGGGAAAGCCCACCCTTAGAGCTTGTGAAGGCAGCGTGGTCTGCAAACATGTTGATTTCAGGCTTCATGTCTACAGAGCTGTGAGAAAATACATTCTGTCACTTTTGTGCCATGTGTGCTGATTTGTCACAGCAGTCTAGGAATTTAGCAGAGTTCTCCTTCTGTTTGGGCTCACTCACAGTCAGCTTTGCCGTTCCCAGCACAGACATCGGAGCAGCTGCTTGCCACTCAGTCACCTGGGATCGACATGAGAAATGGCAACAGTTTAATGTTCCTAGGGCAGATGGTGCCCAGTATGCCTTTTCTCCAAGGACTCCTGACTGCACCTCCACCCTTCCAGTTATCCCACATCCCCTCTTTGGGTCCCTCAACATTACAAGACTATATCAACATCATCTGTACAGGAGCCCCAAGCATATCCGAAATGGAGGGTGGGGATGAGCTCGTATGTAGGTAGGGTGTGGGTGTGTTTAAGAGTGTGTGCCTGTGTGCATATGCGTGTGTTCAGGTGTGTGTGTGTGTGTGTGTGTGTGTGTGTGTGTGTGTGCAGATGCATGTGAGTATGTGTGTGTCTCCATGTGGAGGCTGAAAGCTGATGTCAGATGACTTTCTCATCATTATCCACCTTCTATATTGAGGCAGGGTCTCTTACTTGAACTTAGAGCTTAACACTCTAAGTTGAGCCAGCTTGTTTTAGGGATCCCCTGTCTCAGCCTCTGGTGTGCTGGGATTACAGGCAAGCCCCAGCATTTACATGAATGCTAAACCCAGCCCTCACACTTTGCCCTGAGAGCCCTAGATCTGGATTTCCTAACCATGCCCCTGCCCCCTTGTGTTTTAGTGCCTCTCTACAATGGACCTCAGAGGATGCACCTATGTACTTCCATAATTATGGGAGCTAAAGAGTTCATTTAAAGAAAAGAAAACTGGTCACATGAGCCTATAGAGAGTAGGAAACAGAAGAAAAGTAGGCAACAGGTGCAGTTGAATAGGAGGGATAACTTCTAAACTTCTATAACATGGTAGGATAGTTGTGATTGACAGTGGTTCATTACTTCAGAGTAACTAAAGAAAGGATGTTGAAGTGTCTGAGGTATGGATATGCCAGTCATCTCTGCAGTCTATGTGCACTGAATGTCACGCTGTATCCCTTAAATACCTACAATGACTATGCACCAATTAAAGATAAAATATATTTTTAAAAAGTCAGCTTCTTCCACCTTGGTTCTTGGACAAAGCCTCCAAGTAAAGCTGTGAAGGTCACCCGCTATGAGCCATAGCTGTAATCATAAAAAGTCAGGAGAAGCTGCCTAGTGAGTCACCAGCTGCCTGGCCGAGGGGCTCTGGAGGCGTGGAGTCCCAGGGTACACAGTGTTCTCCATCCAACAGGTGCTCTTGGCCTTCTCTTGCCATTCAGTCTTCCCGGGACCTGCCCTTAAATCTGCTGTGGGCATGCACAGGGCAGGTCACCTCTCAAATGCAAATGGTGATGCCCCACAGAGCAGAGGCCCTCTCTCCACAGAAGGGCCAACACTGCGGTTTGCAGGTGTCCTTTCAAAGGTTATTGTGAGCGGGATAAAAAATACCAGAGTTAGCTTGAGAAGGGGCATGGAAAAATTCCATCCTTCCTCCACAGAGTGGGAGTCTGTTTCTGAGCCCATAGGCTCATCATTTGAGGAATTGAGAGGGTCAGAGCATGTGAGGCCCAGCAGCTCCCTCATCTCGTAGTCCCAGAGAAGAAGGGATTGGTGGTACATGTATCTCAGTCTGTAGAATGTTTCCTCCACCAGATGTGGGGGGCTCACACCTGTAATCAAAGCACCCCAGAGGTGGAGGCAAAAGGGTCAGAAGTTCCAGGTCATCCTGGCCTATGGGAAGTTGTCTCAAAAAGAGAAGGGAAACAAAATCCCAAGAGAAGACATGGCATCCCTCAGGCCGCATGACTTCAGTAGTTACCTCTTGTCTGCAGCACCTGAGCCAGGGAACCTTTCAGCCAATGAGACAGTTTATCCCATTCTGTCTCCACCATCAGGCTATACCTCCCACAGCATGTACAACTGTGGCCTCCAGCCATGGGGCCAGGCGCTTCCCAGTTGATTGTGTGTGTCAGTGGCCAATTCCTCTCAGAGGAAATCAGCCTTGACTGGGGGTGGGGTGGGATGGGGGTGGGGTCCCTGACTCCTCCTGACAGTGAAGAAATGACCTGAGGGTATGCCTGTATCCAAGAGCTGCATTTGTACTTGGGAAAGGTACAGTATCCAGGCAGCGGGCCTTAGAAAGGTGGTCCTCGACCTTCCTAATGTGTGGCCCTGCTTCTTCCTTGGATAGTTGGCTGCCATCTGCCAGAGGAGAGGGAGCCCAAGGGTCAGATGGCTTGCTAGACAGCTCTCTGGGGAGGCAGTCTAAGTGTTATGATTCCTGTTTATTTCAGAAAGAAAAGGGAATGTAAAGGCTGGGGACAGTGGTCAGAGCATCACCTAATTTGCATTAAGTGGCAGGCTCCTATAATAAGGCTTCCTATGTGACAGCAGGGTCCTATAGCAAAGCTGCTGGTACAAGTCTTAGTTACTGTATGTGCAGCAGGGGAAAGGCTCCTAGCAGGAAACTGTTCTAAGTGTCATGCAAAAGACAAACCAGGCATCCAAAGACATTCTCCAGATAAAGGCAGGTAGAGAGTAGGAAGTCTCCCCCAAGAGGAAGTTCCCATGTTGCTTAGCTTTTGGAGAGAGCTGCCAGGCCATGATAGACTGCAAACTCTGACCAGCAAGGCCTCCCAAAACACTAGCATTTCCCCCCTCATGTTGTGGTGACTCCCAACCATAAAATTACTTTTGTTGCTTCTTCATAACTGTAATTTTGCTATTATGAATAGTAATGTAAATATCTGATATGAGCACTCCTGTTAAAGGGTCATTCAAGCCCCCCAAAGGGGTTACAACCTACAGGTTGAGAACCACAGCTTTAGAATATCCAACTTAGAGGCAAATGGCACAGTCATTCTGTCTCTTGTGCCTTGACTCACTCAATTATACAGTCAGAATGTCAGCAATGCCTGCTTCATTGACAAACTCATCCATATCTGTGAACAGTTGGACTTAAAAACAGTAGTTCTTGATATTAGGAAAAGACTGTTGGGTCTGAACCATTCTCTCACAGCTTCTCACGGCCTCTCACAGCTTCATCTGAGGCCCTAAGAAGCAAGAGTCACACTATCGATTGTAGGCACTGTCTTCTTCTCCCCCTTACATTAGCATCCTTAGTTTTAATGTTTTAGTGCATATACTTGTATATAAATGAAAGAATATAAAAAGGTTCAAGGTATCACACAGCCAAAAGTAACCCCTGGAAGCATGTGGTACACATTCTGTGTTTTCTCCTTTTGCTCATATGATAGCATGGGTCTTTCTTTTTTAAGATTTATTTATTAATATATACAATGTGCCACCTACATGTTTGCCTGCATGCCAGAAGAGGGCACCAGGACTCATAATAGATAATTGTAAGTCACCATGTGGTTGCTGGGAATTGAACTCAGGACCTCTGGAAGAGCAGTCAGTGCCCTTAACCTCTCAGCCATCTCTCCAGCTCCCAGCAGGGGTCTTTTCATCATCACCACACACAGCAGAGGTGAAAATCAGGCTGACTGGACTCACAAAACCAAATTGCAGGACAATGAAACTTCAAACCGAGGTCAGGTGGTCACAGTGCCTGGGCTCCTGACTGGCCCCTGGTGGCCAGTGTCACTGTTTGTGTCCCTCTAACCTACCCTGCTTGCCTTGATGCTACCAGTCTTGAGAGGTAGAGAGACAAGGTTGTGGCATAATGTATTCCAGAATAATACGAACAAGCAAAGAACTAAGAGACTCTGCAAAGAGCATGCAGCTGTCTGAATGTAATGGAGGGAATTGGGGAAACAGTAGCTTAGAGCAAGGGGACTGTATCCAGCAAGCCTTTTCTCTGCTGAACATCCTGTGCTCTGGAGTCCAAGTACACCTGCCTCAGGAACAACACACAGGAGGATGCCATCAAGATGA